CTAACCAGGGAAGGATGGGAAAATTTGCATAGGTAGAAGAGGACAGGGTGAGCCTATAGGGTACTTCCAGACACCATGACTTGACTTTCAGGCAGGATAACATTTGAAGTAGACCTATCAATACTAGGGATGGGAATTCATTTGATCTGCATTTGTAAATGAGCCAACCTCATTTGCACTTCATGGACTATTCACATCAAAACACAGATAATCTTTCAATTGCATACTTCTCAAAACTATGCAATGTATTCAGTTTGAAAAATTACAAAGAGAAATGCATGCATATGGAAAACCTGTGTACAAAAGATGCATTTATGAAAGAAAGCAGAACAAATTAAAGAATGTTGCATGCAAAATGCATGTGTTGAGGAAAATTGTGTATGAAATACAAATGCATAAGTGTGTGCATGCTATTGCAAGCTGATGATGAAACTGGTTAAAATAGACTTATGATTGAATATATGCAAATCTGGCATGGACCAGACAGAGGCTGATTCGTCCATTCCTAATCAATACAATAATACCACAGCAAGACAGACAATAATCTTTCAGTGATACATAGTCAAGCAATCACACTCATTTATCATTTCAATCATTTAATTTAAAAACTAGAGACTCTGTTCTTTAACTCCAAAACCTTCTTCAAATTATGTAAAAGTCAACTATGGTTTTGTTTTCAGTTCAGCTGCCTCCAAGATGATGGAAATGAAAAAGATTAAATCAGTGACAACAATTGATGAGGGGATACTTGGAATTCCTATGAATACAAATAGCCTATGAAGGTTAATGAGGTTCAACATACACTTAAAAGAAGAGAATGAACGTATTTTGTATGTACAGTACATTCTCCAATTTAAGGTCTAGGTAACTTTTGAAAGGTGCATTAGTGCAAGCTAAATTAACTTTTTATTGTCAATTGCAAAATATCTCTCTATTCCTCCCTCAATCAAGTGTCACACAGTTGCCTTATATAGTTCAACAGAAGTTCACACAACAATATAAAGCAAAGTTCATACCTCTCCAAAAGTATCAGTGTTCATTTTGTAAAGAAAAAATACAGAATATGACTAAAATGCACAGTTGCCTGACCACTCTCTGCAAAATTGCTCCACAGAGTTAAAACAACAACTTTGCATTCAGCACCCAAGTCTATACATACAGGAAACTATTCAATCAAGTATTTGTATCCATGTCTTCAGTCAATATTAATACATTTTTATCCTGTCTTTCCTCCTAGGAGCTCAGGACAACATACATAGTTCTCACCCCATTTATTTCTCACAACAACCCCATGATATATGATAGATAAAGGCACTGATTGGATTATCATTCATGGAAACCAGGAATAGTAGATCACAACCTGGTTTATTTTTCTGGTTTGTTAACCAATATTAAACCAGAATTCCCCAGTTCAGATGCAACAAGCTTAAGAACAACTCGGGACTTTTACCTTAAAGCTGAAGTGAGGCAGATAGAAAGGAGAGGCAAGCGAAGGCATGTTTGGCCCTGACACTTATTTCCAGTTTCTTCATTCATGGTGTATGATGATCTGAACCGGATAAGTAACTGGGCTCAAAGTTACCCAGTGTACTATATGGCTGAACAGCATTTAGAAGCCAGGCCTCTAGGGTTGTACTTGACCCTCTATCCCCAATAAGACATCCCGTAACTCTTTAACACTTTGGAATTGGGGGACAGAATCCACTGATCTCCAAAAATATGTTTGGTGTTTATCAAAGCTGATAGCGCAGAATAATCTCTGAAATTGTTGTACTCCATGCTTTGATGTGCACACATTTTTGAAGCATGTACTTTCTGACCCAATGAATTGGTAAAATTAAGGTTAGTTCTATAAGAAAGGAGGGAGGAGGGCTTGGAAAAATGATTTCCAAGAAACACTATTCATTCTTAAATCATTGAACAAATATTTAAGGCTTTATATTCAAAAAAGCAATACAGTCTTGACTCTTAGACATATATTTGGTGAATAGATGATACAATGGAACATCATAATGCCAAAAGACATTTGTTGTTCTACATTAGAACCTCAACCATTACACTAATCATATTTTTATTGTTTAAAAAACATCTCAATCCTTTATGAACTAGATACTTTTCTTTATGTTTTCAACTCAACTTATGTGGAAAAGGCAAGCTTCAGTATTAAGTCAACAAATTCATCTTCATGGGGATGCTTTTAGAAGAGCGTAGAACACTTAAATCCATATTATCAACAATTCTGTCATTTACTGAACATAATGAGAAGCTAACATTTCCCAATGTTTGCAGCTATTTCAAAATATTAAATGTTTGCATTCATAAAATAGTATATTATTATGGACATGTGTACACATGATTATATAAAAAGCAGGTCAGTTCTAAATCAGTATACAGTTCTTGAAAATCATTCATCTTTCAACATCCAGAACACAACAGAAAGCACAAAATACCTTAGGTTTGCTGACGGAGAATACCCTATTACTGAGTTCCAAAAGGAAAAGTTCAGCATGGGATGGAAGTAAAGCAAATTTTGGGAGATGAAGGAAAAGCAGGCACAGCTTTGGAAGAGAGAAAGGAACTTTCTCTTTGAAAGGAGCTTACTATTTGTGGTAGAATCAGGCCAAGAGTGCTTTTGTCTTCATTTTTATTTTAGCACTGCTGCTGGTGAAGCTGCTGTCTATTTTCCCTCCAAATGACAATATAGCCCAAATGGAAGCAACTAGCTTGCAGCTGCAAAGAGAAGCTCCACTGCTACCACCACAGGCAGCAGCATTAAAATCTAGTTTTACTCCAAAAAGCCTGAGTAATGGTACTTTGGTCTTCAGAAAAAAATGCATCTCTTACGTACTTCACAAGCATACAGATCCCGCTTTTTCCCAGCCACCACAGGGCAACATTGCTGTTATGAAACACGCCTGCCCAACATCATCTGGAAAAGGCAGCCATGTTAGGTTTGCAGATGGAAGTGGAACTATAAAGAGCAGATTTGATGTGATGCTGTTTTACAACTGTAGTTTTCAAGTGCACAGCCTTCTATGGCTTAATGTTGCATCAAGAGGGAAATAATCCATTTCCTTTTTTGCCTTGTCAGCTGCTGTCACCTCCCTTGGAGAATAGCAGCGGGAAACAAAATGTGCAGTATACAATTTGTCCTTGTGAGACAGACCTGTGGATTTAAGTGTTATCAAAAACACAGGCTGTTTCAGCCCTCTTTTACCAATTTATCAAACAGGACAGATTGTTGGAAACAATGCAGCATCTATAACGTGATCTACCACAAAATTAAACTTTTAAATTGCAAAATGGTTTTCCTTGCATATATTACTTTATTTGGCACTCTTGTTCTATTTCAGAAGCAACTTTGTTACAATAAGAAATGCTATCAGTAATTTCAATACTTCACCAGGTACTCTGTCTTGCAAGTTGTTAAATCTTGAAATATCTGGTGAGGGGGAATGAATTATTATTGGATTTTTTCAATTACTCTTGATGGAAAGCAAGAATGCTATGAATATTGAGCTGGAAAAAATAAAAATCATATCACTTCATTTTACAGCAATTAAAATTTTGTACCTGGAATGAATTGTTGCTCTGTCATTCAAAGCACAAGGGCTCTTATTAGACTTAGAGTTGACAATGTTATCAATAAATCCTGACTTGTACTTGACATTTATCTGGATAAGCTAGCAATTTCCAATACAATCCTAATTACAACATTATAAAAAAAAATGCAACTTTCAGATGCACTGTTATGCCAAATTAAATAGTGCTATTCTAATGATTGCCAATTTATATTATTCAGGTCCTCATCTTCGAAGAATAACAGCTGAGCAGGAAGGTATTTTTAAAATCACAATGTAAAATTTAAAAAATTAATGTACAGTTTCTGTAAGTTACCCTTCGTGAAACATGATTATGAGATGTATAAATGTACACACATTTTGAGAAACCAAAGCTTTGGGATTTGAAACATAGATTTCAAAAATATGAACAACAAAAAGTTTCACTTTTCTATTATCATTGCTAAACTAGTGTGTATATTAAATTAATACATCACTCATTTAAAGCAAAACTGGAAAAAAGATGTAGTAAGTAAACAAGCTGTATCAGCTCTCAATTGGTGGCAGCCAATCTATTTAAATCTGTCGTTGGTTGTAAACATCACAGAAATCATTTATAATCTAATTCATAATCAGATATCCACGCATATATGGTTAGTTTGCATGTTTGGGCCAGTGTGTAACCAAATGGTTCCAACCGACCAACTTCTCTGTGCATCAGCCATTTTATACCAACTGCACAATGGAAATATGATATCTATGTGAGTAACACTTTGGTAAATTTAGCCTGTTTCTACAGGCCATTAGAGATGAGCTAAATGCACTGGTCACTGCAATACAGCCAGAATCATTATTTTCACAAACATTCTTATTTGACATTACTGGGGCTCAACAGTTTCACTAAACATTGCAAACAGTTTCACTAAACATTACTGGGGCTCAACCCAACCAATATCACATCGGATATGTAGCACACAGGATGGAACAGAAGAAGGGAAAGGAATAAACCATTAATTTATTTGGCAAAATAAGAATTTTGCCTTAATTCATGCATACAGCAGATTAGGTGGCAAACCTTATCTAGACTATATGAATTCTCAGACCATAGGTAAGGATTTATATGATTGAATGTTCCTGAATACTAGGCTTGCCCTGCCTACACAAACCCCTGCAAAGAAACCGGGTATCAGGGAGACGGGTTCTAGCTTAGCATTATCCCAACATGCTAGTTTTCAAGTATATAAATCGTTTTTTTTTTAACTTTTCCATGAGGGAGCATTCATGGTACAAGCTCTCATCTGCATTCTGAATTGGTACATTCCAGGCACAGGCTTGCCATTTAATTTACTGTTTGTAAGGCTAGACTTTAATCTAGCACACAGTCCTGCCACGAAAGGCCATTCAAAAGAACCTAAAGTTATCCTTTAAAAAGACATTTACCTCTATCTGCATTCCAAGCTGTGCTCTCTCTTTGTCCTTGTGCTCTATGCATCGCTTTAACTCCTCTATCTCTGACATCACTGCACTGTGATTTAACTTGGCTTTCAGTTCCCAGATCTGTTTCTCCATCTCTTGTTTCTCTGGATCAGACCTGTCAAGCACTGGAACACACATAACACAATCTGGAATAAGAAATATATGAGACCAAACAAAAAATGCATCCACATGAACAGAGTTTTCCTGGGGAAAAGAAGATAAAGATAACTGAATGCTTGTATCTTTGTTTAAGTGCTCAATTAATTTTATCTAAATATACGCACAAACTTTATCTACACACATACAAACCAAAACTCAAGTATTTGGAATGTCTTATTGTAACATAAAGAAAAATTATACTCCTACAAACCATTCTTAGCTATTGAGAAAGAAAGGAAGGGACAGTTTCTGACAAATACCCACCCCAAAGTTTTGGACAATTTCACAGCTTCCCTAAGAATAGTAAGTCAAATGTTCCTTCCCTTTTCACAGATCACAAAATGGTAGAAAAAAATAGGATGACATTTTGACACAGCCAAAATTCATTTTAGATTTCAAAGAGCACTTATAGATGTCAATTATTGTATTGTAGTCTTATTTAATTGTCCTATTTATCCCTATAGGTAGAGATGGAACAGGGAAGGAAAAGTTCAACCTCTTCGCTTCCTCCTGTCATCCTCTTGCTCATCGGTATGGCTCTGGTGATGTATGGCAATCTGAGAAATGTGATGCTGCAGATTCTGACGCTCCTCTTCTGCTCTAAGGAGTTGGGAACGGAGATCCTCAATCTAACAGACACACACACACACATATATACAGACAAATACCAGGGTTTTTTTTTTTAACAAACTGGAAACATGAGTAGGTATTTTCATGGACATTATCAATTCTTTAAAAGATCCTAAAAGACATGCAAAATGTGACCATAACCAATTATCCACAAACTATACCCACAAATAAACCAACATTTAACTGGATTCCTCCAGTACAGGACAATGTGCCTGCCTGTACTGAGGGCCAAACTCCGTGTTACAAGTAAGGCTCTTGATTGGTTCTCCCAAGTATACCCATTTTACTGGAAGTACTTTTGTAAAGCATGAGTCCTCATGTTGTCCAAACCCAAGTGACCAAGCCCATTGGGAGTGCCAAGCCATAGCCAGAATGACACTGGCAAGAGTAGCAGAAAAAGTTCTTCTACTCTTGCCAAACTCAGCCAGACTACTTCAAATGCCTATGCAGATACTGGGCCCATTTCTCCTACAAAACCACTTTCAAAGGGTGTGGGAAAACATTCTTGACTCAGATAAGGAGGAGAGGTTAACATCTACAGCTACAGTCAAGGATAGGAGATACAGTGGTAAGTCAGGCAATAGCTGATAGTAACTCAGTTGCAGACACCATGGGAAAACCAAGTAAGCCTATTAATAGGGAGAGGGGCAGAGTAGCCATCACTAATTCCAGAGTATGGCAGCAGCAAAAGAGAGAAAACCTGCTGAGAAGAGTCAAGACACTCTAAGTAATTAGCCATGCCTTAGAGGTAGGGGTTGGTAATTTGAGTTTGGAAGGGAGGAGAGGCGTTCAGTTTAGAATCAGCTTCTTGCTAATAAGTTACACCTCCTTAATGACTAGTATTCTATCTATGCTTGTTTCTTTTGCAATTGACTTCCACGAAATTCCTTATTTCTACTTTAAAGCCAGTCTGACTGGCCTGTATTAACTTACTAAAATGGTTCATTTTCATTTGCATGGAAGGAGGAAGATAGTACAGCCTCAGAATCTGCTGGTATTGTCCCCCTAAGTGCCCAAGTGGCACACAGGGCCAGGGCAACTGGCACTGGTTGGATCTTTCAAAGGTAACCTGAGTTTTTTACTCCTTTTCCTTGAAAATGGGCTGGGATGCACTTTTGCAATTTCCCAAGTAGAGTCTGAGGGGATGGGACAAAAAGTGTTGCATGCTGGGTAAGAACACATAAAGATAAGGATTTCAACATGAAAGCTCCCTTTTGCAAGCAATGAACCCTCATGCGTTTGCTTTGCCTTGACAGCTTTCAAGAGAAAGCAGACTGAAGAAAAATACTATTTGTAGCCTCTTTGGATCAATGTTCAGGGTTGGTACTTAATGTACTTTGACAGCAGGTCAACATTGCCCAACCAAGTCTCCTGTTTCCTACACTCACATTTCTGTGCACCAGTGTAAATGCACAAATGCAATTAAACAAAAGAAAAAGTGTACTAAATTTGTTTGAATATATAATTATTTGCTAAACATTGACAAGTTCATCCGTTGTGTTACCTGAATACTTTACAGAAGTTGTCAAAAAGGAGTTGTGCAATTTCAAAAGAAAAAATGGTTAAAGAGGCAAAAGCTGCTACACTTAAAAGCTGCTCCTGAAAAGCTGAGCTGAGACCTAGTGACCACAAGGGAGAGGACAGTCAAATTCATCCTGCCATGAAGCCCCTAGGGATACTTGAGGACAGAGGGGATGTAAGGGTGAACAACCCACAGTAAGCCATATCATCTGTCAGCAACAATCAGTGAACCATGGCTTATTACCAGGTGGTTTGGTGTGACATGTGAACCTCACCCAATGTTTTGTTTTACTGATATATAGGCTGTATTTTACCATTTGACCAGAAGTTCTTTTGGTGGATGGAAAATATTTAAATAAGCAATGATAAATAAATATCAATGCATTTGAAGCAGTGAAATTGGGCTCAATTCCCCATGAAGTTACTTGGGTGAATTCCCACTAAATATTTCCCTATCCTATCTTGAACTAGAAAGGGCATGATGCAAAATGAAAAACCATTTTTAAGTATTTGGATACAATCTTAGATAGGCAGGTACCATAACACAAGATAAATCAGAACAACCAACTTCTGTGTACACTTCTGAAGTTTACTTTAGCACAACAACCTTATATATTCTGCAGTCAAGCTTGGTATGCACAATTCTGAATGTCTTCTTATCATACCTCCTTCCAACAGACTATTGAGCTATTTGATAGCCATTTTTAAGAGGCCTAAGCATTACCTACTGTGAAAGGAGATTTGCACATAGGAAAGTGGTTACCTGGTGGAGAAGAGCTTCTCGACTATTTTCTGACTGATCCAATTTCCTCCGGGAGCACTCCAAATCCTGTGCAAGCTTATTTGGATTAGGAACAGTGACAAAATTCATTGCATTGCTATTAATGTTATAAATTATTTAGATACAATACTCAATATACCCAGCGTTACATTGAAACTCATTTCTTATGCAATGCTGTGATAAGCTCACCAAATGCTTATTATTCCTTAGATCAAATGATCTGTTTACAGTTACTTCCATTTATTTGTATTACCTAAAAACTATGTTGTTCCATCATTGGTCTGGTGGTGCATTTTGTTCTTATACTGAAAATGCTGTCCTTTACAACTGCTGGAAAGGTTGTTTTAATTCCTCAGAGCCAAAAATATCATATTGGACAGAAATTTGCAAACCTAAAGTGATGTTTCAAGGCACATAAAAAAGAAACACGCAAAATGTCAAGCTAAAACAGAAGAGGATATTGCATCTTGCATTATTGCTTGGATTGTATTATTGCTTGGATTGTTTTAATGTATTGATTGTGAGCCGCCCCAAGATGCCTTGCATAGGGGACGGCATACAAGTTTCAAATAAATAAATAAATAAATAAAATATGTCTGTGAATGTCTCAAAACCTAATGCAAATTCTTCTAAATCTATCGCTTTTACACAAAAAGCTTTTAGCACCCCAAGGATGTTCACTAGTTTCATATTGTTTTCAAGGCACTATTAAAGATGCTCAAATTAAGACAAAAAGCCCTATATATATTCAATCATAGTGCAGCCATTAAGAACAAAATGCCTTTTTACCACTATTAGCCCATGAAAAACTGTTTGGGAACTACAACTGCTACAAAATGCAGCAGCCACGAGGTCTTCCGTTGTTTGCTCTTCTATCACTCAGGTGTTGTTTAATAGGTACTGACTCCCAGTTTGTTTGGATGCCCAAATCAAGGCCTATACAGTATAAAGGCCTAAACAGCCTGGGACCAAGACGTGTTAAGTACCACATATAAACTTGCCCATTAATTGTCAGAGGCACTGTTTCAAGTTCCACAGCCCAGAGAAGTAAGATTGATAGCCGTGTAAGACACAATGTGTCACTGGTGGTAACTTCCCAATTGTGGTATTTCCTCCAAAAGGCAGTTGGACTGACAGGTTTACTTGTTTCTTTTAGGTGGCTGGCTTTATTCGGTTTTTTTAGGTGGTTGGTTGAAACAATTTTATTTGTAAGCTTTTGCTCCATTGTAATTCTTGTCCATCTGTGGATTTGTTTTACTGGCTTGTTTTAATACTCTCTGCTTTTGATTGTAATGATATTTTAATTGCTATAAAGGCCCTATTAGAGAGAGAAAGAGTGTGCACAAATAAAGAGAAAGTGTTGGATCCAAACTGGGTTATTAACTTTGATGCTGTTCATTTCAGTGGGACCTAAGTATGTGTCTGGTGTGCCTCTCACAGCGATTTCAATTATATTCTATGACTATACTTGGATTCTTTCTTCATTTTCCCATTGATCTTTCTTCTTCTTCTACATATTCATATTTATATTCCACCTTTCCTTTAAAGAGCTCAGAAAAGGCATTTGTTTAGCATCACCACAATTCTGTCAGGCAGATTAAACCAAGAACCAGCAATTTATACATATATGAGTGTTCAATTTCCCCACCTGACTATAATTACGTAAGACTGAGCAGGGAAAGGTCCTCTCCCTGCCCTCCATCACCATCTTTGATGACCTTCAGTACTGCAGGGCAGACTGTTCCATTCATGCAGACTTCAGTGTGATTTTAGGGCAGCATTTTAAGGCAGGCTATTCAAGCAAAACAGGTTCCCTGGGTGGGAGATATGAACACCCAAATAGGAAAAAAGAGTAAACAGTCTAAACCTAGGTTTCATCACAGCCAAACCCAAGATTCGGGCTGTAACATATATCATCTCTTGGGTAAAGCACAGCAGATGGCACAACTCAGTCTTGTGGCTTGGTTAATAATGTTTTGTTGCCTGGAAGAAGCTAAGAAAATGGCCATAATCTTACTGAGATGAGCAGTTATCTTCAGAATACACAAGGAGGTTCATATCACAGAATATTCTACCACACACAAAAATCTCTTCCATGTAGACAGCTAGCATGTGCGGGAAATGGTTCTAGCTCTGCTCTTTCACTGATAGCAATGTGAAGCAGCAGACGTTTTTTGTTTTTACATAAAAATATGCCATCACACAAGTCCCAAAACTACAGTGTTGGGTACCACTGTCCAAACATTTGTTTGCTAAGTGAGAACTAGACCTTTCTCCCTGTTTTTCTCTTTCAAGGCTTGAGAATTCCTGATACACTTCTCAGGGAGAACACTACAATCTGAACATGCACTACTGAAAAGCAGTTGGTCAACTTGGTATGAAATGCGCAAAGCTTTATATCTATGCCCACTGGCCTTAGGAGAAAACTAAGACATAAACAAATACCTTATTCTTTTGTTAAAATAACAGAAGTAAAAGCTGCCGCATCAGTCAGAATACAATGACACCACAATAGGAAGATGTGAAAATGAAATATGCTTACTTTGCTTTTTTCACCCTCCATTTTCAAGATTTTATTTTTCAAGACAATTTCCACTTCATTAGCATTAGCATCTTGTTGCTTTAAAGCCTTGAAGGAAAAAAAGGGAATTTGTTTTGTGCAAAACCATCAGAGCCTTAATTTATATGTATCTGACAAGCATTCAATATATACAATGCATGTAGTTCCACTCTCTGCAATATTGCTGGAAGCATCAGTAATGTGATCCTCCAATACACAGAAAGTTGGTGGCACTGCTGCACAGAAACCTTGGAAGCTCCTGCATCTGCGTGGCAATGGGCTCAATGAGAATGGAGTAAGGGAGGCATGCATCTGATGGGTTTCTGCAGGCTCCCAACAGGCTAAACCAAAGGTGGTTGGCAGGGTATGTATAATAATAAAGAAGGATGTGTGTCTGTCCAGGGCCATGAAACCTCAACACCAGAAACAACATGTCATGCATATTGAGGGGACCACAGGGGTGTGCACTCAGGGAGATACTTTTTTTAATGTGCTATCTAACCATGTAATTAACTTATTAGAATGTGTCCATATGTTCGAAACCTTCAGTATCAATGCTGTTGTTAAACAGATGACTGTCAACCCCTGAAGAAGGAAATCAACATTTCCAAAATCCACAAAGCATTTCATTGGCATCCAGGACTTTTTCAGATTTTCTCCCCCTCTGCTCTCTCCTTAAACTTTCCCTAACCAGCACATCAGCTTTGCCATTGATGCAGTCTGAAGCCAGGAAACAATAGGTCAAGGAAGGGAGTTATATTTCTGCCCCTTCACCCTGCTGTAGTGCACCCCCCCCCCTTCATCAGATGAAAGGAATGCAGTCCCCTCTTTCAGGAAGCTATGAGATATGCCACTGCAGGGCCTGTGCTTATAGGGCACATATGAAGGCTTACCTTCATATAGATGGAGCAGGCGTAACGAGTCCCACACTGAAAGCTGCATGACTTTGCTGTACAAACTAGGGACTATTCCGACCTAGACAAATCTAGATCCATTCACCATTTTGGTAATAAAACACATAATTGAATTCCTTGTACATTTCATAATCCTCAAGATTGTATACATTGTCTCACTTTTGCGGGCTGGAGGGTAGGGGAAAGCAAAGGTAAGGCAATAAACAAGCTCTCTCTACAAACCAGTACCCTCTACAAATTCTTGTACTACAATTCCCATTAGCTCCAGCCAGGATGGGAATGAGTAAGAATGCTGTATTCTATTGGGAAATGCTATATTATATTGTCTTGCACATTTCCTGATATGCAAAACAATTTAACCTTAAAAGTTCATCAGGACTATGACCGAGAAACCTGACAAGAGGTATCAAATGACTTGCCACACTGCATAAGCCAGACACGGGACTACATAAAATCACACTTTTAAAGATTTATTATTAATATGTTTCACTTGACTAGATTCCACATCATAAATATCAATGTACATCTACAGAGAAAAGGGGAAACAGTGAAGTAAAATGTTATGAAATACAAGAAGTACAGTCTGACTATTCAATTAAAGTTTAAATGTATGCAAAATAAGCACAGTGACAGTTCACAACAGCCGCACTTGATGATAACATAATCATCTTAGCACTGCTAAGCTAATTAATACCTGGAAGAGAAAATGCATATGCTACAAGAAGCAATTGTCATATAGTTTGAAAAGTCAGAGATGCAGGGTATAACTACAGACTACGAATCAAAATAGTCGAATGTTCTGCTGGCTAACAAAACCAATCTGCAAGTGAAATTCTGCACATACTCTGGTTGCTTGTGAATTTGTATACTTATTTTTGGACTTATTGAAGTATAATCAGGAACATTTTCATTTTGGCAGAATAGAGGAGTGTTCTTAGAGAAGCATTTCCAAATCAATCTCACAAATGTGAGAGTTTCCACAGCTGAGGGACAGAACAGGTGGGAAGAGCATAAGCAGGTGAAGCCAGAATGACTCTAAGCATTGCACACTACTATTTTTTGGTAATCAGGTACTGCCCCTAAGCCATCCCATAATACCACACTGATTCACAGCCTCATATATGTCCATTTGAGATTACAATGCTGTAATAAACTAAGAGTCCCAGATAAGCACTGGCTCTGTACCGAAAAGCTGATGCTGGAACCAAAGATTCTGAAATCGTTCTTCAACACTAACACAGAACATGGAGGGGACAACTAAGCAAGCAAGACTTCATAAGCCAGCCACAAATCATGGCTTCTATTTGTGGTTCATAGCTGTTAACAACAAATGACAATTTCCTTGCTGGGATTGTTTCAGATGCAATATCAGGTCATGTTTCAACCATATCATAGCTTAGTGTTATGTGTGAACCAGGCCAACTTGAAGGCAACTTCCTGTTTGGCTGTTTCAAATCCATGGGAGTAAGCACAAGTCACACCAGTATCTAAAAGTTTAATATATAACAGAGTTATATGTATCTATTCATGTGAAATGCAACAGGAGTCACATCCAAATGACAAGGCTACAGTCCAATTATTACCTTAACTATACCTATTCAATTTTATATTGTGTAATTTATACAGGGAAGGGCCATACTTCACTTATAGACCACATTCTTTGTACAAAGAAGGCCCAAAGTTTAATCCATGGGATCACTAGTGGGTAATAGGAAAAACCTCTGCCTGAAATGCTAAGTAACTTCTAGTAGTCAGAACAAACAGTACCAGCAAGACGGACAAACAGTATCACTTGATATATGGAAGGGATCTGGTTATTTATTTACTTCATATTGGAAGGTCTACAGCTCCTAAGCAGAGCTCCTTCTCTATTGGCTCCACAATGTCACATATACCATTGCAGAAAAAAACTGAAGTAACAAGTAACCACGGAAGAGTTTCCCAATGGAGAATAGGAATTAGACATCTTATCATTAAGACATCTCAACTCAGTCTTGGAAATCAATATGCCACCTCAGCTTATCAAAGTAGCAATGAAGGATATTTAGGCCATTAAGCAGCAATAACATGAAATAAAACAGCTATCTCTCACCCCACTGGTATTTCAAATCTGCTATCCCTTTTTATTTTTCTAGTATAGTAAAATAAATAGCCCATAACTACTGGTTTTAAGAAAAGTGGGTAAGTGACAGGAACACACACAAAAATGTCAGCACCAAGCAAGGACCATATACAAACATTACAGACAGGCCAACAATACTTTTTATTAACAGCTTGCCCACAACAACCCACTCATGTCAGTCACTGATAAGGTGGGCAAAAAGAATTAATCAAAAAGGCCCTTGCTAGTTCTGAATTTGACAAATAATCATTTCAAATTCATGCAATGGGAATGTAACAGGAATCAACTGACGTCTTCCTGGATTAATTCAGAATGGCAAGTATGAAAGACAGAAGGGGTAGAGTGAGAACATGACAGATGGAACACAGGAGACCACCTTATAGTGAGTCAGACCATTGGTCCACCTCACCCAATGTTATCCACAGTGACTGGCATCTGCTCTGCAGGATTACAGGTAGCATTTTTTACCCAGCCCTACCTGGAGATGCTGGAAATTTAACCTGAGTTCTCTGTGCAAAACACATGCTCTACCACTGAGCTAGAGCTCTTCCTTGCTTTTTTGATCTTTTGAACTAGAGATGCTAGCAAGTAAACCTCCAGCATTCTGCACTCAAAGCATCCATCACTCCAGCAACTCCTCCAAAAGAAGAAAGAGCTGAAAGTAGTAGTGTAGTGGTTAATTTCAAAGCACAGGATCTCATCATGACAACCCCATAATCCTTCCCATCCAAGGACAAAAGCAACCTGCTTTTGAATCTAAGGGCGCTTTCAAAAGCAGTGTGTGACCCGGGTCAAAACTCCCACCAGTCATGCTCTTGGGCATGTCTAAAGTGGCTTTTTCAATCTCAGCATATATTTACAAGCTTGTTGTTCAGGCTTCATATTAATTTGTTTTAAGAAATTATTTAGATAGAGCAAAGCAGTCCCTCAAAATTGTGTCATAAAGAGGCTGTCATTTTAACTCTTTTTTTAATCCAAATTTAACGACTGACTCCTTCTCCAAAGAGCCTACTATTTAAATAAGCTCTGATTCTGCTGTGAAGTGACAAATCAAGTTCAGATAAGAGTTATAGCAATTACAACATCCATTTCAGTGTCAAGAGCAATTGTGTTTGCTGCTATATTTATCTAATTAACAGCACAGAGCCATAGAGAAATAAATATGAAGGTACATAGCACATGCCCACTAATTGTTAAATAGAGCTACTTGCACAGCATGTTTATAAGAACCCTTTGAGTGTTGGGAGGGTGGATCCTGGTTTACATTGCATCAGCCAAGGTAGCCTCTCCAGCACCCTGAAAACGCTGCAGAGAATCAGGAGACCTACTGAATGGATTGAAGTAAGGTGTTAGGAGAGAAAATTCTCAAATTGTTGGGCAGAGGAACCTTCTATAAGTAGGAACCTTTCTCTCCCAGAACACCCCTTCTTCTTACAGAAAGCAGATCACGGATCCTAACCCTTTAAGTGGATAAAATTCCAAAACCATCAAATGCAGGTAAACTGATGATTAGTATGATTAAAGCTAGAGATGTCAAAACTGAAATATTTCAAGGTCACAAACCAAACACAACCTGGGCAAAGGAAAGCCAGAGTCCAGGTTCATGTTAAGAAACCACAGATCTCTGGGGGAAGGGGGCAGCCATTCCTACTTTCAGCAATGGCAATTGGACGGCATCTACTAACTCATTTCTTTTTGTGGCTTGTACATCTACCTAGTACTTAGCTGAAACTGGAAAGGGGAAAAAGAAAGAAAATGGTAGCTGAAAATGGTGCTGAAGAGAGAACAGGGATGTTCAAACCCCTAGCTTTTTAATTTAGGGCACAATCCTATCGACAGAGGATACTGTCTAGCTAGCCATTGGAAAAGGCAGCGTCCACCTTGCGAGCGTGGAAGAGCCTTCTGAGGTTGCAGTAGCAATGCCATCTTCAGAGGGCCTGTGCTCCTCCATCATAACCGGCATAGCTGCTGGAGGAGGCAGGGAGGGGAAGCAAGTGGTACCAAAATTGTCGACTCAATCCAGGCAGTGCCTCAGCTTCTCCTCTTGTGTTTCCACATCAGGGAAACATTTAGATGGTCAGAATCAGCCATCTAAATGATTTTGAGAGGCTGAGGGAAGCTGAGGCAATCCTAGGGTCTATGTTCCTCCATCCCTCCACTGGATGCTCACAAACCTCCCAGACCAGAGAGTTATAAATATTTGCAAAGGACTCTACTGTGCTCATTATCTCCTAAAGGGAGGCCTATAGCATGCAGTGCTTCAGGAACAAAGAATGGACCACTATCTCTTGACCCAACAAGGCCATTACAAGATTCATCAATTTATAGTTGATCTAGTGGTATATAACAGTGGTTCTCAACCACCAGTCTGCAGACCAGTGCTGATCTGTGGGAGATTTCCTGCCAGTCCATGGAAGCACCACATCCCGCCTGCCACAGACCAGCACAGGGGCCGGCTGTGCTCCAGCACCTCTTCCTTGGTTGGCATTGCATTCATGGAGGATGCGCTGGTGCCACAAGGGGGGGGGCAGGGAGAGGAGAGGCAGCTCAGTGGGAGTCAGCTGAGAGCTACATTGCGCCGATTTCAGTATTTTGTTCTTTTGTTGGCATTTTTTGTTGCTTGGTTTCTGGTTGTTTTGCAGAATTTTCATTTTTTTTGGTATTGTGTTTGGAAACTAATACACAGAATACTGTTTGTTTCTGCCTCAGCGGTCCCCGAGGTGGTTTTCCTGTTTTCGCCAGTCCCCAGCTATGGAAAGGTTGAAAACCACTGGTACATACCACAGCAGGGAAAAATCTCACAGGGAGAGGGAAAGGTTTCCTTTTCTCTCCACGCCCTTCCGCCAAGGAGAATCAGCACTATAAGGCACCTGATGCACAAGGGAAGAGGTGATATGGAATATGTGCTATGAATATGTACACTGAACTTCAGCTGGAATCCTGAAGAGGAAGAGCATGGGTCTTGGGGAATGGGGTACACTTTGGTGCAAATGGGCTGCAGGTCACATGTGCTTGTTTCTACTTTTGTCACCAAATGTTTGGGGAAAGCAGTAGGTATGATTATTCGATATCAGGCCACATTCCCTGTTGGAATGCTGCATTGAACATGCCTGACCATACCACAAGCAATTCCTATAAATACTTCCTCATCTTCCAGGAGCTCAAGAGAAAAAAGGACAGCAGGATTTCACACTCAGTGTGCTCTCTCTGTTGGCATAGTTCAAGGAACCAAAATGTCAAGTCCCAAAACTTGGGGTACAGGGGGCACTAAGCGCTTTCACAGTGCTCCTGCAGGAAACATCAATCCTCCAATACATGACACACATAAAACAAATCACACATTTAACCAAAAGCAAGGGAGTAAACATGCATGCATTGATATACCCCTAAATTCAGCATATTCCTTGACTGAACACATGCAACAGAATTTACTGAGCCTTACTGCTGCTCAAGGATGGCAAAATACTGGCGTCTAGTGGTGACAAATATTCTGCATGTCTTTTCTCAGATTATATTGGTTTCATAAATATTTTTGAGTGATTGAAAAAAATCTGGAGAAGCACATTTAATCCTTTATAATTCAATTCATGTGGAAGTAAGAAAATGGGCTCTTACACATACACAGTGAACAAACCACTGTATATTATACAACAGCATCACGTGGCTTTTGAAAGTTTGCCAAATACCGTATATTCAGTCAAATCTCTGAACAGGAACGTTCCAGCATAGAAATATTAATTTTAATCAAAATAAATCTTCCACTATGCAGAGAAAATGCCAGTTCCACTATGAGAAGGAATAGCATTTAAAATCCCTGTCACCACATCTTCCCCTTCTGTGCCTTTATGGACTATGTAGAAATGCGGTCTACTTCTTAAATTTAACAATTTGCAGCATAATTCAGAATTTGCATTTCAAACACTAACACTGGGTTACACCGACACACATGTGCATATATACACATACACGTACAGCTGGCACACCAAGCAACGTTGTGCAAAATCATTTCCATTCACAGCCAGCGCCTAAGCATCAGATACTAATGCTGTGTCCAAAAGAACACCCAAACTATGAACTTGAGCTTTTAACTGGAGTGCAACTTTTCTAAAGCAGGCTGACATGTTAACTCCAGGTGCATAAGCTTCCTAAGCAGAAGTGCTTCTGTCTCCCATGAATTCATTTCCATTTTGTCACCTTCACTCAGTCCGTCACAGATTCCAAAGCTGCTGCAGAACTTCCGCAGTCCCACAGAATGTGATGGGAAAGGGATCTATAGCTGAGCATAATTAGCATACAAATGAAAACCCATTCCCCATCCTCAGATTCTCTCTTCTTGTTTTGTGCAGATGTTGAAAAACATAGGAAACAAAAATCAGACCCTGTGGTTTGAGTGCATATTTCTCAGGACTTCATTAGGAAACATACCTACAAGGAACTACTGGAGCCCCCACAAAATAGTCCCCATCCAGTCAGTGCAAGGGTGCTAGTCAGGAGGGCTACTGGCTATGTTGATGACATTCCAATTCTTATCACTGGCTGGTTGGAACCTGGGAATGGAGCTCCTGAGAAGGACTCCCCTTATCAAATTTTATACTGACACCAGCCTGTAAAGAAGTGGCTCTTCTGATAGTGCCAGTTTTAGGAAGTCCCTGGGCAAGATGGCTTGTGCAAACCTACTGACTCCTCTTTGTTGCCCACTCACTTACACTCTTCTTTTGGGCACAATCTGCACAACCACCCAGAGGGAGTGGGAAGGAAAATGGAGGCTTCTGTGTCTTCTCCAGTCACTGCTCACTTGTGTAGCATGGGAAGGTGAACAATGACAAGGCCAAGGGTATCCAGTGACTGGCTGTGCCCCCGCCCCACGGGGGTATATGCTTCAAGAACTGCCCCACACTGCCGAACCCTACTGTAAGTTCATCTTCAGATCTTGAGTTATCCCTTGATAAAGTCTCAGAAACAGGGACATATAGTTCTTCCTCAAAAATGCAGCTCTCCTCTCTGCTCCCTTCTCAGCTGATGACTAGGGAGGTGGCTGGGGAGAAGGTGGTCACACACTGGCAAAAGCTAGGTAAACAACTCCCCGTTTTAGCTGATAAAAGCACTAAAATCGATTGGAATGTTAAACTTACTGATGCCCTTATGCTATTAAAAAAATAAGCTGGGAAACCACTGATTCAATTCAATTCTCAATTGCATCAACAAAATGCATCAACAATTTACAACTTAATAACTCAGGCAACTTGGCATCATACTTGGCCCCTTCCATAATAGGTAGGGCGATACTGACCAGTCTTGCAGGATTAGCGTAAAGATGACCAATGGCCCCAGTCACATTATGCTAGCAGTGTGGGAGTTGTGGCAGCCCTCCTCTTTTCAGAACCACCAGGGTAATGTTGGAAAGCCCAGGACACACAGGAAGTTTGTGGTGTAGGAAGAAACTCTTTTACACAGCACTGGACCTCTCATGCTACTCCAGCAGTGCAAGAAGGAAGGGTGCTGTCACAGCCTCTGAACAGCCAGCCTATTATGTGAACCACTTCGAGATATTATCAGGTGTGATCTCAGTACTGAAGAACACTATTATCCCATCTTGGGTCTGAAAGGATATTACATTTCTGATAGTACCTTAATCGACCGAAACGTAAAAGGAGAAAAAAGAATGCTCCAGCCATAGCAAACCCACATCAAAGAAATATAGTTACAAAATATTCACCATCAGCTCAGAGTCAATTGGACAATTAAGTTTCAAGTGTCAATCACAAGTTATCATGCCTTGCAAGCCAATATGGGTAGTCTGGCAGGCAATTGTACCAAATTGCACATCAGCTTCCTGAATCAGAAACAAGTGACAAGCGGGGAGGAAAGGGGAGGAAGGATGCGGCACAATTTGCTAATTTAGTCTTTCAAAATTAAACAACAGTAGTGCCACTCAGCTCTAATAGATCACAACCTTTCACCACCATTTCACATAATTTAAAGAATACAAAAAACTCTTTGACCCAAAAAGAACGTACAAACTTGAGAGGTTAAGCATTACATTTACCCAAATTTTTTTAAATGTGCATTATCATTTTTTTCTTGACATGACCTCTAAAGGAGAAGTCAGCCTTTCAGGACAGAACACATCAATCTAAATTAATCTTCACTGGTTTATACTGCACCGTATAATGAGCAACTGCCTTTTAAAAAAATGCATAGGTCACCACATGTATTAAAGGAACCAAATATGAAATTATTTTTTCCCATAGGCTCTGTGAGATACCAGGGTAAAAGTCTAAGATGACTATCCAAAGCACTGAAATTAAATCTAAAATTATGAGGCACATGTTTTATCTTCCTGGTTGCTTAAGTACCAGGGTGGATCAAATTCACTACCTCTCTTGTTTGTGCACCCCTTTAAAAGACAAAGCAAAAAAGGCCTTAATTTTCTTCTCTAAAGTGAACAATAGCTCAGTTTGTCTCCACAGCACAGACTCTTGTACTCTGCCAGGTGCATTTTGCTTCTAGCACAGCTGATTATACAGCACCAGGAAACTGGCTCCCCAAAACATCACATTTAGGCTTCAAGAGAAGAGTATTCACAGGGTGGTTGTTAACAACCCCTTTAACAGTTTAAATCTTAGGTGTACTGAAATTGTTTCAAGGTAGCTCCCTTTCAAATACTCAGAACCAAGAGGTTTAATACTTCTTGCCTCAGGGATGAGAGCCCCTTTCATGTTTAACTGTCTGACAGTTCACTTGACGCCCGACAAAATGCATCTACAAGAATGGCAGTCATCCCTTTAAATAATTAGCTCAGACTCAATGGGTAACAAATGGCAGCTATGGAGTTCTGTACATATAAAAAGTCCTTCTGCTTACCTCCTGGAGATGCACAGACATGTGTCCCAGTTGATCCTGGCGTCTTTCCACCAGCTGTCTTTCTGAGCGGATTTCTCGTTCTATCTCCTCCAGTCTCCTCTCAACCCGTTCTGACACCTTAAAGAAAGGGGGCAGATTTCAAAGAAGATAATATCAAGCTAAATTTTAACAAGAAGAAACTGAAGAGAATCCAAAGGCCCAACTGCAAAACACTCCACATAGGAACACTAATAGAAAACGTTGTCCTGTTGTACCAACATTCACCCACTCCTGCACAACTTAGAACTCATCTAGCAAAGAACAACAAAAGACTTAGAGCAGTATCTGAGTCCTTCCACTGGCAAAAAGTAGAGGCTTCCATTTATGGGACAGAGAGGAAGGAGTTTTCAGAGTTTCTCCTTCCCCCTGCAGCTTCTTTACCTCCCAAAATCTGTTCTCAAGAACTGAACAGCACTTCGGAATGGTATGAGAAGGGGCACATAGGGGCCACAGGAATGAGGGGTAGGTGGGCATGGTCACCTTACTAAAAAAAAGAGCAAATGAATTAACAAAAAAGAGGACTCTGATTTACATAAAATGTATACCTGCTACAGGTGCACATTTAGAAAGCATTAAATACATCTCACCATTCTGGGTATAAACTGTGGCTAGGTGACCCATGCTTCTGCTCAGTCTAAGTTTTCACTGTTAATGGACAACTTCAATTAGAAGGTCTACCTTCTAATGGCTCTTCATCTTTAAATAGGACTGGGCAGCCTTTGAAACAGAACTTTATTCTCTATGATTTAGGACACCTGGCAACCGTTGCAAATGAAACACTGCTGGAAAATCCCCTTCCTCCCTATTCCACTGAAGGAACCCTCTGCTGGATGAAACAAGTCTTCCATGAGCAGATGAATGCTAACTAGATACAACCCACTGATTACAATTAGATCAAGCCTATCTTCAGCAACAGATCAGTTTCTTTTGACCACTAAGTGAGCTTCCTTCTCCACTCCAAAGTGTGCTTGCATGGTACACAGCACAGAGTTTTAATACAATGGGTAGGAGAAAACATCACTGCAGTAGGTCTTCATCAGGGGTATGTAATCACATGATGTAGTGACAGAGTGATAAGCGCTGCATTCCTCACAAAAGGAAAAAACAAGAATCACCAGCCTTTGATGGTCTTAAAGTTGTGAAGATAGGTTTATAAGTATGCAAACCTGAGAAAACCTCAGAGGTCATTGCTGGCATGGGCAGGAATTCCAGCTATCAGTAGGAATCCAATACTTTGCATAGTTCCTTACCATCCTCTCAGCTCCCCTCACCATAAAAAGTAGTTAAACAAAAGAAGTAACATAAATATCCATAACATGTATCATTCTGAGAAATCAGCATTAAATGACCAAGAACAAAAATAAGTTCACTTGACCCACAAACTTATATGTATATCCTGTTGAAACTTAAACAGTCCCAGGTAGTCTACTGTTAAGGCTGTGACCAGGCCAGGCGTAATTTTAGCAAGGCTGCTGCAGCTGTGTACCTTCAGACAGTGCCCTGGGACACAGAATCTGGGTCGTTGTTGTTTTTCTTATTAGCACAGAGTACACAGAGGGTGAGTCATCAATCATCATGCTGTCATCCCAATCTAGCAAAGAAGAGCCATATGCAGAAGCAAGGGTCTACACATGTGCTGTGATGCTCACATCTGGATCTCATTAGAAGGGCAGGATGAATCTTTTGATACAGATAGGAATGTGCAACCTCACCCAGGACTGCTAGCTGCGTGCATGTGGAAGTGGATCAGGAACAATATTTACCATAATGTGAAAATTAGATCTTTATGAAACCACACTAAAATTTCCATATAACAAAGCCAGGAATTTTGTTATTGTTGCAACTTTACAAAATGACAAGTCAAGAACTGAACAGAATAGCTTATGGCTTTAAAATATATTTAAAAAATAAGAATTATTTGCTCTAATTGTTTTCCTTTCTGTAGTGCAAGACACTGGGAAGACAAAAGACTCAAGGAAATGGGGAGGGGGGGAGTGCCAGGACTAATGCTATTCTCTTAAACGGTTTGCAGATGCTACCCTCTAGTGGCAAGTTGGATTTAAACACCCTGTGGAAACCAGCTTTGCTACAGTTATTTTATTACTTCAAACTAACAGTATTAATTGCATCACAATGGCATTTTGCAGCAATATTTTTTCTATGTGATCTACAAACTGTAAACATAATTCAGATTTGGAATTAGTAGCAGAATGGTTACCAATGTCACAATTATCAAGGTAAGATATAGTTTAACTTTCCCCCCATTTTTCCAGAGATTGCTGGACACAATGTCTGTTCTCACCAAAACTAAACAAGACTCTTGAGCACAGATCCTTCCCTGAGCACCACCCCAACAAAAATTCAGGACCAATTCATAATTTAACAAAAGAAACAAACTGTTCTCCATGGTTTGGATGTGCCTTTGCATTAGCCAACTTTCATTCAAAGTAGGCCATTTCCACTCTGACAAAAGAACAATGTGTGAAAAAGGAGCCCAAAATCTGGAGAAGTTCTTCCCTTTGGTCAAATGTTTGTACAAGCCAGTGCTCACACTCATTCCAAAGCTCGGGAGAAACTGTATGTGACAACCTGTATCTTCCTTGATCACCAAAGTTCTCATACTATAATGCAATCTCTGAAAAAAATGCATGGATCCAAATGAAATATTCTGCACAACGCCGTGCCACAGAACTCAAAGAACATGAATAATACATTTTCTTCTTCTACATATGGTTCTTTGGAGCCAAGCCCATGTTTTCAAACAATTATATGGTTATATAGTCTTTTCCTATTTAGTTCAATTAAAATGTTCTCTGTAAAAGCAATTTGAACTGCATTTTTGTGGAATGCCCTCTTTGCACTCTCTTTTTGGAGCAGAAAATACATTTTAAAATCTACCAAGGAATGTTTTATTAATCCATGATTACTGAAGTATAATTTGCAATTTACTGGAGCAAGAATACTTTTCCATCCAACAACACGAGTGGAAGGGTTTCAAGAGACACTCCAAAAGAAATCAATAATTAGAAGTACTTTTTAAAAAGCATGCTAGAGCCAAGCACAGTTAAAAGAAGTTGGAACCATGGAAAAAGGCTGGTGAGAACTGAGATTGCAATCCACAGTATTCAATCTATATAAATTTAATTCGAAAGATTTTTTAAAAATATCATTCCTATATGTTCTGAGGTATGAAATGTCAAATATAGGGGGATAACAATTGCAGTCTGCATAGATAGTGGCCTCAATCCACAGTCAATGCAGGGATTCCCCAAACATCTATGGCATTTCGTGTTTTATCCTGTTATGGCACAGGCAACATAGCAGGAGTTAGCTGGAAGATGGAATTTTGACTTGACTCTGTGAATCAGAAAGCTCACTTCAGAATGCTCAAACACTTAATGCATGTGCCATGGGTTTCCTGTTTACTTTACAGCTCCCACCACTGAGCCCAGGTCTGTTCACAAAGTTTTGTAGCCAAGGCAGGTGGACACTACAGATCCACCTAAATATGAGAGTCCAATCCCATGTACCCCTGGACAATCTTGTCTAGGTCTTGTATATACATTATTAGTGAAATGAAAAGCAAGCTGACATAATTATTTATTCAAATATTTACTCCAAGTATTTCCCTGTGTTCAAGGTGGCAAGCAATAGCTGCATCAACGAAAATTTTACTGAGCAGAAAATACACTTTGGTGTAACTGTTGCTTGCAGCTTGAACATAAGGACATAATTTACTCGGTTAAGATTAGTTTGCAAGCCCAAAGAGAACAACACAGTCGTTGACACAGTTACTGTAAACTATGCAGAGAACTTTGGCTATTGGGCAGTATGAAAATGAATAAATATGCCAGGAAATAATAATAAAACTTAAATTATGCCAGCTTGTTTTTCAGAACTACAACCCCACAATTACAAACACAGATCAGGCGTAGAAGCAAGTATCATGCCAGTAGAAGTACGATGGGCAGAGCACCGCAGAGCCCTCCAATCAAGTCCTTTGACTTTGCAAAATATAAAGATGCCAACAGTATCTTTCCTACTTCCTTTAGGTCACATGCCCCCAACTCCAGCCCACAGCATCTTTGGATCCACTCCACTGCCTCCCCCTCAGCAGCACCACACAGCAATTAGGCTTAGAAAAGGGAAATTAGGCAAATTATCCCTTTCCTGCATACCATCTCTGGAAAATCCCAGACAGAAATGCAGCAGTTAGGCATAGGGGGGAAAAAGCCTCCATTGGTGCCTTTGCAAATGAAAGCATTCCAGTTCATATTCATTAACCAAACATTTTGCTCATTGTTTATTAATCAATTACATCTATAACTTGATGCAGACTGGAGAATCAAAACATTGAATGAAGGGCTAATCCTCACAAATCCTGTGAAGCTTGAGTATGTTGATGCAAAAATATTTTTTCCCACAAACCATCAATGATAATGAATACCTGACCTTTTCTGTACTTTGCATCACCACTACTTCAACTGTGTTAGTAGCAGAGCAGTTCTTTCAACAAGCTGTACAAACTATATATCCAACATCCTTACTGTCCTTTTATGAACCTGATAAGAAAATACACAAAGACTTTCAAATGCCATAGAACTTAGTCTGGTGTTGCATAAACAATGAGCCCAAACATTCCAGAATAGTAGCCATCTTAATTAATGTGATCAAAGAAGATAATAAAGTCCAGACAAGACGGACGTCCTGTTGGTAGGCAGTTCAGGCTTCGGAGAAGGTGAATTGAACCTTGTCCTGAACGGGGTTGAACTCCCTCCTAGGGATAAGGTCTGCAGCTTGGGAGTGCTCCTCGACCCGGAGCTTTCACTCGAAGCTCAGGTAACAGCAGCGGCGAGGAGCGCTTTCCTCCAGCTTCGGCTGATTCATCAGCTGCGCCCCTATCTAGAGTATGACAGCCTCGCAACAGTGACTCATGCACTGGTGACTTCCCGTCTTGACTTCTGTAACGCGCTCTACGTGGGGCTGCCCTTGAAGACGGTCCGGATACTTCAATTGGTTCAAAACAGAGCTGCCAGGCTGCTGACGGGAACTGGACGTTATGTTCACGTGACTCCAGTTCTCCGGCAGCTTCACTGGCTTCCCATTGAAGTCCGGGCCCAATTCAAGGTGTTGGTTATGACCTATAAAGCCCTAAACGGCTTGGGTCCTGGTTACCTGAAGGAGCGCTTACGTCCATATATGCCCAGCCGCCCCCTGAGATCAGCGGGAGAGGCCCTCCTCCGGGAGCCCTCAGTGAAGGAAATTAGGAGGGTGGTTACTCGGAGGAGGGCTTTCTCAGCGGTGGTGCCTAAGTTATGGAATGCGCACCCCAGAGAGGTCCGCCTGGCGCCGTCATTATTTGTTTTTCGGCGCCAGGCGAAGACCTTTTTATTTAAGCAGCATTTTAAATGTTAAATTATTGAATTTTATTTGGCCAGGGCGGCTTATTTTATTCTAATATATATATTTTAATTGTTATTGTTTTAATTTATTGTGTATTTTATTCTATGTTGTGAGCCGCCCCGAGGCTTCGGCAAGGGGTGGCATAGAAATGTTTTAATAAATAAATAAATAAATAAATTTATTTATTTTCAATTTATATCCTGCCTTTTTCCTACAAAGGGCTCAAGGCAGCTTACATCATTCACCTCCTCCTCCATCTTATCATTTTGCCCTTTTACTTTAGCAACTACAATTTAAATTATTGTATTGACAATAGTTCCCCACAATCTAGCATCATACTAGCTCAGTTCAGGTAACATGACAACCCACATTGCAGCACAAGCTGACACTGTGACTAAATTGCCTCAGACCTCACAATGTGCCTCACAGACAACTGGGAACATCATAGGTTTATGGCCCTGTCCTGAGCTTGGCCATTCCCCTCCTGTCCATAGGTTCTAAAACACCAGACAGCCTCTTTGCAATGAAGAATTTTAGTTGCACTTCCCAGCTACAAAGCAAAGAAACTTTAAACACCCTCTAGTCAGCTGGAAGACATGCTTCTGCTCATGTTAAAAGCAGAAGCTAGGAATTGGGAACTTTTCCCCCAAATCCTTGCCTTTCAGTAATTCAGTGGACTCCACACTCAGGATGGCTTCTGCTGATGAAGGGCCAGCAAGGACCTATGCAAGCCCTCTAACTGAGCAGCTTATTTCTCCCAATGTCCCATCAAGGAATCAGCTCTGCCTCCTTCCATTCCTGGACCACTCCATCTCTTCCAAAACATTTCTGCTCCCCTGGTCAGTCTGGGAACCTGTGGACAGTGACCTGGAGGGTGCTTCAAAGGCTTCAGTCTCTCATTTAGTTTCCAAAATTTGCATCACCAAATCTTCAAGGACTTCTTCTTCTTCAGAAACTTGGTCTGGTATGCCAATCAAGAGTGGCAATTGGGTTCACTCAATACAGGCCCCCTCACCTTCTCAAATTTCCCACAGTTATCCCAAGGGAATATTCGCTATATTCTTTGTTCCCCCTATTCACAAGTACTTCACAAAATTTGTTCCCCCTTTTCTCCATAAGAAAGCAAAGTCAGGCTTTTGTACTAAGTTTGAACACAAAGCTAGGAGTTCGAAAAAGACTAACGAAATGCATCCACCTCCCTTTTTAAAGGCAAACTGAGTTTACCAGGGGAGTTTGAGTGGTAAGTGGGTGAATTTGGACTGGAACATACCTTTGAGCATGGTTTTTGTCCCCCATCCTACCAGCATCTGAGCATAGCTCTTGTCCCCCATACCTCTGTCCTCCATTGTACCAGCAACTAAAGATTTCAGGAAATGGAAGAAAGCTTCAGGATTCACACCCTGGTATTCATCTGAACCCAGGGTGCACAAGTGTTCAACTCTCCCTGAACAGGAGCATTTGTGAGAACTGCAGGACAGCTCCACACTCCATGCAGGCAGAATCCAAAGGGCCACGGAACAACAGGCTATAAAGTAGGTGTGGCAACCGTACGCACCCAAGGACTACATTTTCTTTCAGAAAAGCTCTCAGTAGTCCCATGCCAGCAGGGGCTGCAGAAACAAGTGGATGAGGCTGAAACAATGCCAAGCCCCTCTGATTCTCGTTATGAAATATGCATGCAAGCACAAAGAGTACATCCCATGAAGAAACAGACCATGTTTCCCCATCCCCACTGTAAAGGCTGCTTCAGATGTCAGGGTTTCAATCCATATGATGTTCTTTGGAATATTTACTTAGGATGCATAAGAACTGATAATGTTCCTTCATCTAAAAACTGTTCTTGAACATAACAAATCAAGCAGGGAGAAGGCTAAGCTAGAATTCTTTCTTCAATATCTGGTTTTCTAAAAGCAGTGGTTGAGTACCATCTTCTTGTTGAGGGGACTTTGTTAGATGTGCCTGAAGTATAGTATGACCCTCAAGGAGAAGTCTTGTTCCACTGAAACCAAGTAAGTGATCTGGAGAAATAATCTCAAGACCTTATTTATTAGATTTTTAGCCTATCCCATGTGCCACAAGGGTATATTCAGGAACGTTAGGATGAGTCCCTGTTCTCCAGTGATGCTACTGAGAACAAGGGCTTCCGAGCAGAGGACCTCATACCAAGAAGGTAACAAAATAAAAGAGGGGGCCATCAGTGAGTTAAAGAGATAGCATTCTCCCACATGGAAGATGTAACTGCAGGGTGGATGCCCGTCCTTCTGCCCTGGCTGCTATACCCCTGTTTGTCCTCCAGCCACACAACTTTTCTCCCTCCTCTCTACAGCATCCAGGCACACCTCCAATGCTTCCCATTTCCTCCATTCCAATTTGTCTTTATTTTCAGATCTTGTACCTCTGACTTTCCAACATGTCACTATATGTTGACATGCTTAAGTTAGTATTGCTCAGTTAAAAGATAGTCTTTCTGTGCCTTGAAGTACATTTACATATTAGAAGCTACTTTTTTTTTTTTTTTTTGCATTTTCTCCCTATGGAGAGCTGGTGTAATAAAGTGACTATAGATTAAGACAGTGGTTCTAATTTCTCCTCTGCTATGAGCTCACTAGATTTCCTTGCGCAAGCCACTCTTTCAGCATCATCACTCCTGCACTCTGGTTTACACAGTTGTCTAATAATTACAACTAGATAATCTGCCTGCAAAGGAATATGAACATTTGAAATAGCAATATAAATGTCAGCTATTATTATTATCCATTATCTTGACTAATGCAGAAACCACTTTTCATTATTGTGGAAGGCCATTATTTCTCATGAGTCACTTTGGATAATCCAAATTTAAGGGATTAGCATTATTAGATTTTCATTTAAAGACAACAACTGCCCAGTTAACAAGCTCAGACACCATCCTGCTGTAGGGTTGCTACCAAAGATGATTGATAAAATGCATGCTGGTTTGCAAAGCAGCTATGCAAGAAGCCAGTTCCCTCCTCCACTTCCCAACCCATTAAGAAATAAGGATTCTTCAAGGCACTCACTGTTTCTTGTCTTTGGGATTCATTGAGTCTGTTAGTTAAATCTTCCAACCTCCTTTTCGTTTCTGCATCAGTTCTTAGGGCAAAAAGCAACAGGAAACAAAGCCAAAGCCATTTCAGAATATATTGTGTTCTACTGACTACTAAAACTTTATTTGAGAACACAGTTTATTACTTTCTAGCTAGCAGAAACACTTAAATGACAAATTGCATTGTCATTGCAACAATACAGCTAACTTCAAAAAAAAAATGGGCAGGGAGCACAACTTTGCTCAGGGTTGACAGCAATGAATTTATATTCATTTACATAAAAATTGGGCTTTTCAAACAATCAACAAAACAGACCAAGTTCCATATTGTTAAGAGGCACTACCCTTCATAGCAAGGCTGGGAAACTTCCAGGGGTCCATGGGGCCAACTGCACCCTCCCAAAATCACCAGGGGCTGCACCTTTGGATTAACTGGTATGACGGTAAAGAAAAAAAAGTTTCCCATCACTTCTCAGCAGCACAGAAATTGACTGACAGGGTTGATTTCAGTTTAAATCAAGTGAAACACCTTGCTTTAAAACTAAATTAGCTTTTTGGCTACCACTTTACCAATTCACCTCTGCTACTTTTTGCTGCTGCCATAGTGCTACATTGCCACAGTACAGGTGCTGCACGGCCACATGCAGCCCATCCCTGCTTTCTGGGGAGAAACTAGCCAACATCTAACCTGAAATTCTCACAATGGATTTTCTGCTTTAATAGGCCCCACACAGAGCCAGTCACGACTCCAGTCGTGTGACATACAATTCATTTGAATTTGGTCCTATCTGAACATGACTCAGAAACATCAATCCCTTAATGGAAATCCTTTAGCAAATGAAGTTCTGCTCTACATCACTGTGTTATTTTTTTACATTACCACTTTTTGCCTAAAGAAAATATAAGAACATCATGGCTCTTTTTAAAGAGTTTCAAAAACTTTCTGAATTAGATGCCTTTGAATTTCCCTCCTAAACATCTATGCCCATTCCATTATTTGAGGAGTTGTATTTTACCCACTTTTGTAAACAATTCTAATTAATAAACACCTCTAGCAGTGCTGTCAATCCTATGCCTACATCATAGGAACCACACTGCTGAGTTGCTTTCAGGGCCAAAAATGTAGACATAGCAGACTCAATTTGGGAGCAGCAATGCAAGGTTTATAGCTAACACAGCATGCCCTTGTTGGGAAGTCTAACTGGGAACTTTATTCATTTCCGTGGTGGTGAGTTTCACAGACTCAGGTTTCAAAGTCTGGATTTTTTTAAGAAAAGAAACAGGAGTTGGATAATCCACACATTGTGTATTTATATATTTGATTGCTTGATATCATGCTTTTCTATCAAAAAATGGTACTCGAGGCAGCTGTTGAATTTGATAGTAAGCAATGAGACAATTTACACACGTGGGTGCTAGAACTACATTCACTAACTTCTAACCTGACCAAGTCTAGAAACAAAAGAAAAAAAATCCAAACTTTCAAGAATGCACATTTTTCATATTTTTATGAAATGGTAACTCTAGTCTCATGCTGGGAAACTGAGCATGACTTGGCACATCCTCAGATTTCTATCAGCAATAGATACATTAGATAAATAATTGTAATAAGGAATGATAAAAGAACTATGCTGGGAATCTTACAGAGCAGATTAAATAATCTGTTCCTACATAGTATAAATTTTTATTTTGCTTATGTAAAAAAGGTCTTCCTCTTACATAAAGTAAAGGCTGGGGAATAGACAACTTTTTCATTTGAAAACAGTTTATTCACCATTTAAAAAAATATTTCCTAGCTCAAAATTGACCCTATTTTTCAGGAAACAAACAATCAAAAAAAGATTAGGGGGAATAATTCAATTTTTTCCATTTTTCTAGGTCTTCACATCTCTATTTGTAATAGAGTAAGAATAATTATATCAATTATATAAAATAATATGCTATGGTTCATAGATCATTACATTTTTCATATACTGTGAGCCACCTAGAGGGATAACCCAGAAGGCGAGGCCAAATAACATATATATTGGCTAGGCAAGATGGGCCACAGCAGATGATACACATCTTAAATTGCAACACTTGTATAGGCCATGAACAGATAACATGCATCACATTCTTTGCACACTGGAGCTTTCAACCATCCCTAGCAAAAGAAAAAAAACCCTTTCTTAAACTATAATTGCTATAAGAGAATTTATACACTTTTTTCCTTTATAAGGAAAATTATGCATGGAGCAACCTCCAAATCAGATTCTCACCTATTACTGACCACCAAGCATTGCTGACTACATTTATTAAATGGTGAGAATCATCTAAAAATATGTTGCCCAAAGGGCACCAACACAGAAAGGGGAATGCCTGTTTTCGACACTGCAGTAGAAAAACCATGCCTTCCTTTCATACCGATTTCTTCTTGAAAGCTCTCTGCTGAGATCATCTTCCAAACGGATTTGTTCACTGCTGAGATCTCTGAGCGACTGGTGCAACGAGTGCAGCTGCAATACAAGCACACACAGATTAAAATTGTGCGTTTTTGCTTCACTCATGTATTCAAGATATATATACTATGTATTGCAACAATATTTAACAGATAGCAGAACAGATCAGAATTTCTTGGTGCTAGTGAATTATGGTCTTCTACTCCAGAATAGTTCATAATTGGGAGAGAACCCAAAATGGCACCTGGATGCTGAATTTTATATATGTCCGTCTAGATCCATTTAGAATTGGAAACAGATGGCTAGAAAGTCTGGACCAATCCTAAATGGATCCATTTAAGCCCCAGTTTCTAAATATATCTAACTATATTTATTTTAGCATTTATTTTTCTTTATCTGTTTTTTCTTTCTAAATCATGTCATACCCTTTTGTGACTAAGCAGTTTTTCCTATTACTGCCCATCTTTGGAACATTTTGCCAAATGAGATCCAGGCTACTCGGTCTCTCCTCACATAAAGGGCTTATTTCTGTTAGCATAGACTTAATTATCTTGTTACATGTACAGTCTATTCCTCCAACTCCATCTTCCCATGTTATTATAGACTGGAACCCTGCAGACAGGGCCATGTTGGTGCTACTCTTGGGCAACATCTACCCATTTTGAGAGCTTAAAAGTATTAGCAGTTTTGGATCCCATTTTATAAAATAATTGACCAGTGCCTAGCTTTACTCTCTAACAGAAGGAATATTTTAACAAACTACTGACACTACCGTTTGCTTTGTTTAAGCCACAATTCTAAGCACAATTCATACTCAAGAATAAGCCTCTTTATGCATGATGGGTCTTACGTTCAAGTAAATTTGCTCAGGAGTACATTACACTTTAAAAGTTTTAAGGGCTTCCAACTAAGAATTTGTTCTGCACAGCTCCATTTTTCTCTTGTCACTCTGCTGCATAACCAAGATATAAGTCGCAGTTTTACTCAAATGTAAGACAACTCCTGACCATCAAAAATTCCAAGAATATGAGTGTTTTGTTGGCTTTGTTCAGTATTAGACAAAATATAAGGATAGTATTTATTAGCAGATCTTTGAGAGTAAATTGTGCACTCACTTTAAAAGAAGACATTAAAATTCTTCAGAGTCAAGATAAAAATAGCAGCATATTCCAATTATTGCATCAGTTTTGGGCAAAATTTAAAATACTAATACCAGTGTCCTGGTAAGCAAAGGCAGACTCAGCTTTAAAACTGTGTCTTGTAAGGGCAAAACTGTGGTGCTTCAATGTAATTCAAGCCTAAAACATTTGCCGCACATAACATGCATCATAAGCAATCTAGAACAGTTGTTTTGATATAGCAAGTCTCAAACACCCCTCTACAGTTCAACAGCTGAATTATTTATTTATTTATTAAAACATCAAGTGAAAAAGTAACTGCAATTATAGGGAAGAGAAATCAGGAGCCTAAGTTCCATTAAGAATTAGTACCTACCTGACCCAGATTAGCTCCCTGGTCAACAAATCGGACAGCAGACCTAGACCGTCGATGTCTAGCACCAACTGTCTCACCATAATCCTTGAGGGGAGAGGTAGGCTGGAAATGATGGCCTTCTTCACAAGGTAAAAGAGAGAAAGGTAAATCAGCATGATATTCTAGACAAATATTGTATAAACAAAGGTAATCTTTAAAAAGGCCACCTCAACCTGTATACGCCTGCACACAGCCCTGCAAGCAAGATCCATCAGGTTGGTGGGAACAAAAGACATGGCCTTAAAATTAATTTAAAATAGCAAAAACTACAGCAAAAAACACAATTAGAACACCCAGAAAGAAGAATCACCACAATAACCTCCTCAGGGTCCTGGATAACGAAGGAGATCTTTAAAGGTGCCCACACAGAGGGCTTGTTGACCTGGCACTGAAAAGATGGCAAATTTGGTGGTAGGTGGGCTGCAGCAGAGAGGTTGTTCCAAAGATGAGGGGCCAACACTGAAAAGGCCTTCCCCATAGTTGGCACTCACCCTTATATCAAGATAATATAAAATACCATAGAATATAAAGTGCACACAAAATACCATAGAATATAAAGTGCACACACTACCAGAGATTGCATTATCTATTTTTTGATTACATTTATACCATGTATTTACGCAAAGCACTCAGATTATTTTATAGTGACTTAAACTCTAAGAGACATAGTAGGAAAAAAAGAGGACTAAGAAGAAATAAATTAATTCTGGTACCAGCACAATTTCATCAAAAGTATACAAGCAGAACACTGACTTATTTTAATTTGCATGAATGCAGTTTTAAACTTTCAGGAACTATAAAACATTGTAAAATAAAATACTACCTCAAGGCATAATATTGTTACAGGATATAATATCACCCTATTCTTATTTGGGAAAACAGATTCCAGTTTACTATTTCAAATTGAGCCACAATTCAGCCACTCCCTACACACACACACACACACACACACACACACACACAGCACCAAGCTATAAGCACATGCCAAGCATCTTCTTAAATGTTTTTGAGCCAGTAACCTGCTATATACCAGCAATTCCAACTCTAAGCATCCAAAAATTATTCATTACAGATCTGAGAACTCCACTGATTAAGATTCTTCATGTAACAGCATATCAAAGACTTTCTGTTCCATTAAAGAAGTGCAGATGTGCAAAAAGTGTTCACAGTTTGCATATGGGCACAATATCAGATGCACATTCCAAATACAGATCCTATCTATTTCATACCTCATCACAGAACACAAAAAGTGTTTATCAATCCAATGTGTATACTAACTTTCCGCTGACATACTTTAAGGCAACCATAACACCAAATGGCACAAAGAAATTAGAACACAAGAATATATTCTAGCATATAGTTTTGTAATAACACATAATATAATCCATCATAGAAATTGATTCTTTGTCTCCTCCTTCTGCCAATAACACACAATGCCAGAAGCAATGTTCATATAAGACAAATGCTGGTTTCATTTGGGGCAGAGAGAACTTGCTTTCAAAACGTCAAAAAATCTGGATTGTCAAACTGAAAGAGAAAGCAAATTTTCAATTTAGTTCTCCATGCTGCAGCTAATTGGCTTCAGTGAACTCCAACATGAAAGATCCCAACACTCAGGCATACCTGGCTCTACTTAGCTTACCAGTTTGTTCAGTTGCTCCTGAATGAAAACAACTGAGCATTTTAAAAAACCGACAGAGCAATTTTATACAGATGCACTCAATGTTCAATAAGGCTTATGCCCAGATAAGTGATTTTGGGATTTCATTAGAACTCATTCTGACATACCTGGGGCTCCACCATCTAGGTCACTTGCATATAAACTTGAAAGAGATGCACTTCTTACTCCTGAACTTCTCAATCGACGTTGGCTTCTTAACTGGCCTATGGATTGTTCCAGTGTTTCTTTAAGCTGCATTAAAATTACAGCTCATGAGGTGGAGGGCAGAAAAGGAGTATGCATGCAAAGAATCACACTGTATATGACCATCTGCATAATAAGTTGGTCATAATGTAGGCATAGGGAATGACAACCCAAGCACATACCACCATTTCAACCCCATATATATATATTTATGTCCCAAATGACCACACAGCACACCCAATTGAAATCCTAAACATGGTATTTCTGAATGTTTTCTTCCTTGTTCTTGTGAACCTCATGAGCTCTGCGTATTGTAAAATGCATAGCACATATATGTGAAATGACTAGGCAGATCTTTGAAATTTTGGCAGAGGCTTGATTACTATTTTATACATCACACAAAAAGTCTGCAAAGACAGATGTGCATCCCTATCATAGACTAACATCATTGCCAAAATGTGCAATATCTGAAGAAAAGAAAAAGAGAAAGCAGAAGGAGGTTTATATATAAGCAGCAATAAGCAGCAGAAGCCTGGAAAGGAGAAGATACAGGCATTTCCAAAAAACAGAAGTTTCTGCTAGCAAGAAAAGGGTGAATCAAACTGCATAATAACTTTACTGCCCACAATTCTGTGGTGATCACCAGCAGTCCAAACAAGCAAATAAGATCAGTGTGGGTGTCTAGGGATGCTATGGCTAATGTGCTGCAACAGCTCCAGGTATCTGATCCATGAGATTCTTCCCACCCCACCCCATTCTAGTTCAGTGCTATTAATTTGGAAACTTCAACAAAGAGCTGCCCTCAGCAGTTATTTCCTGTTGCTTTTTTGTAGGAGGAAGCCAGCATCTGGAAACACCCTATATTCCCTTGCAAATGAGGCATTGCTCACAAATCCATTTTAAAATTCATTTATTAATATGGATTTCACCATTATCACTCAGAATCCATGTAAACAGACAGGTTTGTGTATATCATTGTTTCCTGCTCCTACAGACAGATTTGAGAATTAGTGGTTAAGGTGAAGCTGTGGCACAGCTCCTCTGGTGACATGTGTGCAAAAAGTTTGCCATACAAGTGTCTGCAGGACCAGCATCTGCCCTGTAGGTACCTGCAAGAGCTGGTGCCTATGTGATCATGCAGCACAGATGGGAGTTTTGGAAGACTTACTAAAAGACTTATTTATTCATTCATTTATTCAGATATTTATCTGCCCTGTTCTGTACTGCCAAAGCAACACAGGCCTTTGTGGTGGTTGCACCATGGTCCTGACTATGCCCCCAGTCTTGCCTTGCCCTTGACTCTGGTCTGATGCTGCCCTGCCAGGTGCCTGCCCCTTGCCTTTGTCTCAAAGTTATGCTTTACCTGTTCCTGACCTTGTTTTTGCCACTTATTCTGTCACATCTTGTCAGGATCTCACCCTTGCCTATTCCCTATTCTGCCCTCACCTCTGGACCTGCCATGCCTTACTGGTTATCTGACCCTCACTTGTTCCCACTTCTGCCTTTGCTTCTGGTCCTGCTATTGCTTTGATGGTACCTGACCCTTGCTACAATATAGTAAAAGCCCTGTCATAGAGGACATTCTTACCCTAGAGCTAAAAAGATATTAGAGTTGGTGGCAGGTAGGCCTCAGTGGGGAGCTTTTCCAAAATGGGGGGCTACCAATGGGAAGGCCTTTTTCATTGTCACCACTGACTCAGCACATGGTGGGCATGTCGTGAGGGGAGCCAGCTGGTGCCGGAGGTCAGACTAGATGGCCTGGGAGACCCCTTCTCACTCTCTCTGTTTCTGTGTTTCAGCTTCCCTCAGAGGTAGCAATCAGAGGCCTAAGTCATGATTGTAGTATCCAGGTAGATTGTACTTGCGAGAGGTGTCCTTTCAGGTATTGTGTGATCCTAAGTTGTGTGGAGCTCCTGTTTAATTGTCACTTCTTTCCAGACCATTCCATAAAACATATCTGGTAAGTTTGTGATTTGTTAGACAATGGCCATAATTAAAGAAAAGGAACTTTTTAGGCGTGAAGAAAGAAAAACACAAGCAAAGACAATAAAATATTATTAAAGAAATCTTTCAGGATGTGAACAAAGACTACAGCACAGCTTTGTGGAACACTGCTTTCTCCTGTTTTGTGCTCAGCCTGGAGCAATGTACTAATTCTAGCACAGCAGAATACAAAAGAGAAAGGAGACCATGTGCTATTAGAAATCCAGTACAGCATAATATTCTTCATACCCTATCTGAACTCAGCTTGGAATGGAAGGCAATGAAAAGAGACCAAAACTGCTGGGCAGCCCCACAAACTACAGCCTTTCCCCACCTCTCAAACCACATTCCATGTCCAAAGCAGAAAGAACTTGACCTTCCTTCAAACCATGCTGAAGATGGAAAGAAAACATATCTAAGCATCTCTATCATCAGATAAAAGTTTTAAATTTTACCAACAGATGCTTACATTTGCAATTGCTTCTGCCTGCTCATTGTTGTACTCTCGATATTGACCCAGCATCTGGTCCACATGTCTCAGATTCCTATTGGTATCCTTAGGAGAGAGATTGAGAAAAGACAATTAAACCAAAATCCCAACTGCAAATGTCACAATCTTGTGACCTCTGCCATTTCCAGTATTTTGCTTAACACCAAGCAAGGGAGATCAATGATTGAAGTTTCTGAGTACAGACAAGTTTGGGGATGCTTAACAGCCATTGGCCCTCTTGACACACACAGCAATCAGTGTGTGGGCAGCTCTTATGAAGAGGTCTATGGATAACTCAACCACGTGGATCTTTTTCAATGAGGTGGGAAAAATTCATGCAAACTGCTCTGCCCATTTGTGGAGCCCTAATGTGTTCCATTATTAGTATGTGAAGACATATGTATGCAGTATCTTGACATATGTGTGCAGTATCTATCACAGATCCAGCCCTGGAAGATGGGTTAACCTCTTCACCAAACCCTTATTTTTACTTGCACAAGACACAAAACAAGCCCTAAAAATGGACAGCTCTTACCAACCTGTAAAGTGCTTGCTAAAGTATGGATCTTCTCTGTAACGTCTTCAGCACCATGATTATGGATTCTGGTTGCTCTAACAGGACCCCGTCTTCCAGTTCTACGACGGATGTGATCAGAGTCACTGGATGAATCTGCCATGGGTATCTTTCAAAAAATAAAAAAAACATGAAATGTCACATGTCTGGGGCCCTATCATTTTAACACTATACCCAAACCAAAACGAAAACAGGGTAGGCTAAATTTACGATATTGTTAGAAGAAGGATTCACTGTGCTAGTACAACTCTGCCGCCATTTCCTACTGTACAAGTGTTTGTGCGAGTACTAGTAGATCACCTGTAAGCCAATGATCTGCAAGTGGTTGTACAACTGAAACATTAGTTGGATTCTCCCTTGGCATATAGTTCTTCATTTGCGCTATGGGATGACACCACAGGAGGGCTGGGTTGGCTCTCATTGGCTCCCAAAAAATTCTATGTAACTTTAGAAGCAGACTGCAACCTGAGACACTCTTGAGAAGCAATAACTGTCACTCAGCCAAGCACAGGATGTATGCAATAAGGATCATTCTATGTGTCTTTCATTGTACTCCAAAGTGCAGATTTATGTCCATTAGCTGTTGTCCATACAGGCATAGGAGAATGTAGTCACAGTTCCAACCTCAGAAACTCACTCCAAGGACCTGCATTCTGACCTCACAGCCAGCTTGGAAACAACCATGTTGTGACTGAAGCTGCAAGAGTAACCTCAGTTTGGGGAAGTTCTGGGAGGCAGAGAGAGAAGTAAATAGGTTGTGGCAGGGTACACAATATCCTGGCAGTTCCCATGCCTGAGCCTCCACTTCCATGCCTAAATTCACCATGCATGTGTTTTACAGGGCAGAAGTACAGAGGACATTTTTGTCTCCACACTCCATCAACTCTTTGTAGGATATAGTTCTCCAAGTTCAGAGAGGTATGGGATCCATTTTAGATGAATTGAACATTACAATGAACATTGTAATTGAATGTTTTAATTGTGTTCTATATTATTACTTATTTTTGTAAGTCATCCTGAGGCTTTGCAAAGGACAGGGTAGAAATGTTTAAATTAAATTAAATAGATTGTGCTCTTAGGAATTGACATGCCACTTTTCCACTATTCCAGACTTAAAAGCAGCTCCCAGGACATGACAATAAAAATTTGCCAGATTATAAAACAATTGATAAAAGTCAATAAAACATTACTAAAACATAAAACAATAAGGGCAAATCAAAGTAGAATGGTAAAGAAATAGCTAGCATCATTAGTACATTCAATACCAAATTCTACTGAATAAAAATATATTAGCCAAGCATTTTTAATCTGCAATACTAAAGTTGGTGCCTTCCCAACTTGTTTGGGAAGAACAATCCATCACTGAGACGGTCCTCTTTTCACATTCCATTGCTTCTTTGTTTCATTTTTATACCACCCAATAGCCAAGGCTTTGGAGGCTAACAAAAGTTAAAGTTATACAAAAGTTTAAGAGAGACACACTTGATTTAAAAGAACAGAACCATAATAGCAAGTGCTATGATCCAGCACAGAAACAGCAGCAGTACAGAATAAAATGGAATATATAAAAACAAATGCTGCTCTCCTTATCCCAATGGTGGGGGTACCTAAAGAAGGGACTTCTCCAGATTTCAAGATCAGGAAGGTTTGCATCAGACCGTATCCAGATGCCTGCTTCATACATAACCCACTCATTACAATAGGCATCTCCCAATAGCTCAGAATATCCAGTCATCTGCTTTTATATATAAAAGAAATATTGTTCCAACTTTCAAAGAACTCACTACACAAACAATCCACTTAAATACATTAGGCCAGTAATGGTGCACTACATTCAGGATTGTCACTTATGATTATCAGCACAACAACAGAACGATAGCAATTAAATGATGCAAACTGTAACATACTTAACACTGTAAGATTCTAAATGATAAAGTCCAAGATGACAAATATAAAAAAGAAGCCAGGATTTACTGAGGTTACAGCAATTCTCAGACTGGGGGAATACTTACTTTGAAATATTTGATGGCTGAATAATTTTGCCTTGTGGAATTGCGAGGCTCATTGGGGTGTTACTAGGACACAAGATACTTAGGTACATAGTTTTAAAATCCCCTAATGCACAGTTCTGCTATTATATCTGATATTTCATAGCTTGTCCAAATGAAGCTTTTGTCTTCAAAGAGTGCTGCAGCACTAACTGAATGATGTATGTCTTAGTTGTCATTTTTAATGTTAAAAACCAGAATTCATTTATTTCAGGCTCAAGTCCTGAGAATTTAGTGTGCTAGTCGTGCAGTATAAAATTGTAAGCATGTTTACTTGCTACATTCAATGGGCTTTCAGTCCCTAGGTCTGGAAAGTAATCTTAGAATTACAGTGTCAATCTTCAGCACAGAATGAAAATTCTAGCACGAACAAAACCCCTCACATCACATTCATTCTTCCAACTTTTTTTGGTTACATTTGAAAACTTTAAAAGAAATAAAAAGAAGCAGCAATTCAGATATCTTGCTGTTTTAAAAATTCAGTTATTTAGCTCTTATTAGGTTGGCAATGCATTCTTATTCTCAGCTATAGCTGTTCAGGCTCAAGCAGATGCTTCTGTCACAACCTGTCAAAAAATAATGCAACAGAAAGACACAGGGACTTCCTACTCCCAACTAGGTAATCAGTACTGGCTGATGCTCAGAAGCAAAACAGACACAGCTCCCAGGAACATCCAAGACTCTCTTCACACAAGCAACTAGCAATATAGGAACCATTTTGCCATGTAATCCCCTTCCACAGAGATATAAAACAATGCAACCATATATGTGGAAGCACAAAGACTGGGATTCCCAAAAATTAGTACGACAAATCTGGTACTATTTTGTCCTTTGATCCTGATCCATTGTGGTTCAAAATGCTTGTCAGATTTTTTCTCCTACTTCCCCAAAAGAATCCAGGGTGCATCGACCCATCAAGTTACTTATTTTAGCACAGCAGAAAACCGGCCAACTGCTCCAAGAATTATGTCCTTTGCTCATATCTCTTTGATATTCCTTTAGGAAACTATTTGGTTTTAGTTTTACTGAAACTAAACTTTAGGTGCATCATTTGCTTCAACATACAACCAGTCTGCATCATATGCATAATGCATACGTGTGGCATTATCAAGTTAAAGCAATTAGCAGACCCCTGGCCTAGCAAACCTTGCAACTGGATTATTTCATCAAGTTTCTAAAAACTTCTGCTTTTAGAACCTCTCCCAAAATAAAATCTCAATTCAGAGAAGAGAAGTCATGTTGTTACAAAGCAAAGCAAAGTGAAAGCAAAGGAAAGAACTTGCTCAGAGACATTGCCAATGGCAGCATTGAAAAAAGAGAAATGTACTTAGATGAATCAGCTCTATTATCCAAAAATAGGAGTATTTTCTACAAAATGTTTATCCAACCCTAAAGTGGCATCCTCTTTCATATACCTGAACAAGTTGCTAAGAGACCACATCTTTTATTAGTTACATTGACCCTTCCACTTCTTAGAAGCATCATTCTGCTGTTTGCAGGAGTCCTCAAAAGCTCACAAGTAGTCATTGTCTGACCACTCTAAAGAGTGCATCTTTTCATCAATCTATGAAATTCATTATGTGAAACTCAAAGACAATAATTTTCATAGTGTCAAGAGTGTTCCACAACGGTTGTTCTAGAAACGTGTGTGTGGGGGGGGACAGTTCTTTTGTTTTTATGGTAGATGCTTATAAGTCTCTAGACTCAGATATTAGCATCCACTGCGATGCCCAGGACAGTGCGGTGGCAGCAATCTCCACTGCTGCACCTTACATCCTGCATTTTCTCTAGATTGGTCATTTTTGTCTGTATAGATTTAGGGCTGCCAAGGGGTCAGGAAAGAGCCAGGGCAACCCCAGCCTTTCCCTCCCTGCCATGCATGTCTTTCCCCTTCTAAGGCTTATTTGCAACCTTGAGGGCTAGCCACCATGGGACAAGACCTCAAACTTCAGAACTAGGGGACCTCAAGGTCAGACACCTAAACCTCCTATGGTCCCCCAGACAATGTCAGAAGACCCCAGGATTCTGCACTAATAGACTTTTACTTTTCTTCCTATGCTAAACATCAGTGCTTTAACTTTATCATGATAGGCGAAATCCTTTCTAAAACTAGTGCTCACCCCTATGTCCAAAACACATGTACAAGTATCAAGTTCTTTCAAGCTAGAGCAGTTACGGATTTTTAAAAATTCTCCATTTTGAGAATGTGTTCCATATTAATATGACTGCGGAAGAACCTCTGAATGTCTACAGTGGAACCTGCATAGTGCAAAGGATTTGAGGCATGTTTTATGGTAGTAGTTTTCAACATTTTCAGACACATGGCCTATCATTAACCAAATACACATTTGGCAGTACTTCTTGCTTTATTTTAATCATAAGTGTATAGTCTTACTACTACTGTTGTGATCTATCAGAGCATGATCTGGTAGTGCACTTTTCCCCAACTTGATATTTTCCAGACATGCTAGAGAATGACTTCCATTCTCATCAACCTCTAGCCATGCTGTGCACCCCCCCCCCCCACACACACACACACACACTTCAACAAAAGAGATTACTACAAATAAGTTCAGTCCAGGCCAGAATGTATTTCACCCAAGTGCAGACAACAACAAGAACAAAGAGAGCCTCGTGAATAAAATCTGTCCCAAGTCAGAAATTGGACCGACCAGGGCAACTAGGGGTGGTATGAGGAAGCATACAATACAGGAAAGTGAGGCATATGTAAACCAAATGACAACCTACCAGAAAACCTGCAGAAGCTGCTGGCAAAGTTCCACAGGGAGGAAATGGAATCACTAACACCAGCACTGGTGTATGATACTGGAACAACTAGCCTGCATAAAAAGAAAAGATGGCCACCAAAGACCTACAGGACATTCTCAGCACTTTCAACTGTAACACTATTTGTTTTGTTGTTAGAATAAAGAAAAGACAACATCAAACTCTGACTGTTCAGCCCTTTTTGAGGATGGATAGAGGCTCTAATATCCTTCCCCTATCTGGCTTCCTCAAGATTACATCACCCCCAGCCTGCACAGGTAGATTCTGATGCAATGTTGAAGACCAATGTTGTAGGCCATTCCTTCTGCTTGTCCAGCCATTCTTGCTGTGTCAGTTGGGCCTCACACACAATTCATGCAAACAGAGAACAAAGCTGAGAACACTCACAAGAATCCCTGAACTGGCATATTCATGCAGAGATCAGCATAGCAGAGAGAAAGCTATAGTTTAGAAGTATTTGTCCACCATTACCTATCTTTTCACACTGGAGAGCTTCCACAGAACTTCACAGTTTATTGCCCCAACCACACAATGCTGCAATGCAATTTCAAATAGAATACAGGAAGAACTTAAGCCAAAAACACTCTTTATCAGCCTGCTAAGAGTGGAACGCTTACAGAACAGTGGAGCAAGCTGCAACTTCTCTAACCTCCAATCGACAGGAAGTGGAAGTTGAGTAAAAACGAGAGCTCAGTGAGTCATTCGTATTTGCCTGAATTAAGCCAATATAGTGAAAATGAATGCAACCATTGAAAACAATGGTTGAAGGTGACAAAAGATTCTGATAAGCCTGTACTATGGTCCCCCAGCTGTAGATCCTCCAGACCACGCCATTTTGCAGTACAGTTGCAACATGGGCAGGATATGAACCAGAAAGGCTGCACCCTATTGCATCAGCCTGCTTTAAACCTGTTGCAATTAAGCCTATTTTAAAAACACGAAAGGAGCTGTGCTGGATCAGGCTGAGCATCCATCCAGCCCAGTATTCTGTTCACACACTGGCAAACAAGCTGCCCACAGAAAACCCACGAGCAGGACCTGAATGCAACAACACCATCCCCCACATTCTCCAGCAACTTGTGTGCATACTGCCTTTGAAAATGGAGGTAGCATATACCCATGAGGACTAGTATCCATTGATATTACCCATATGTGTCGGGGTGGGCAAACCAAGGCTCAGTAGCAACACACAGCCCTTTGAATTTATTTTGTGTCTCACCACTCACCATCACAGGTGCCAATGGGCACCCACTTGCCACCCACCACCCACTGCTGCCACCCACGGTCGCCCCCTTGCTGCTTGTTACTGCCAACCATGGGTGTCCACTTGAAGCTCTCAAACATCTAATATTTTACCATATGTGGCTTTTCTGTTGAGCAAGTCTGGCCACCCCCGATATATGTGTTCAATCCCACTCTAAGCATCACTGCTCTAATTCTAAAATATTAAGTTCAAAAATGATCATCAGTAACTTCCAATGTAGCTACAATCAGAAAAGACATCTTGAGACAACTTAAAGAGCATTATTAACCCGCTTCATAACTAGAGGGGAGAAAATCCAGCACTGGAGCTCAACAGAATCTGGTATTTCACTGGTTTATTCTAAGTGATCAAGTGAAATAAGGAACTTTCCCTTCTTATTATACATATCATGCTTGCTCTGATTCAAGGACAAGAATCCCTATTTTGCATTTCCCAGTAATGGGAAAAAATTCTTCCTCACTATTATAACAAAAGTAGGATGCCCTGACACACAGGACATATTTTACACTGACTTCATAGTGGTTCATACAGTCATACCTTCTCCCAAAGAACCTGTGGCATTGCACTCTGAAGGACAGAAAATATTCCCTTGCAGAGCCCTAGTAGCCCCACTCACAGAACATCTAAACCTAAGGTTCCCTTGGAAGAACAAATTACTGCTAAGCCAGTTTAATCTGTGGAGTCTAGGAAATATAAGCATAAATCCACATACAACTGTGTCATTCCATATAGAAGCCTATTCCAAGATGCAGGTAGAGTCTGATTCTTCCAAAAATGGACAAAGAGACACACTTGCCCCCTCAATCGGCAGGGCACATGCCTACCCTGAAGTAAACCTATTCAGTTTCCCAAATGTGCATAAGATCACAGACTTAAATTACCATATGCAGGAGAACTGCTACTGAGAGGCAGCAGGGAAGCAATAAGCACTGAACCCTACTGCACAAATAATCATATCTCACTATATTACAAGATGAGACTTCATGCCATCTTGTTAATTTTAAATAGATAGAGGGAGGGAGGCATAATAAAACAAATAAAAGACCATTTGCTTCCATGTCGAGTAACTAAGAAGTCAGTATTATTTGTAAACTACACACTTCCTTCAGTACTTGCAAACATTCATTTAAGTCCTTACACATGCACATACTTAGTTGGCACATTTACCAATCAATCTCCTTTTGAGTTTGACATTCCCAGTTTGCTTTATCTCCTTGAAGCACAAGCCAGAAATAGGAAGAGCAGCTGTCATCTCAAATGACTCAGATGCATCTCGAAAGATTAAAGGCACTATTCTATGGAAGTTTCAACAGAGAAAGGCCTACAATTCCCATCATGCACTAGTCAGGATTGTGGGAGTGGTGGGTCTTTTTTTGCATGGGATCGCACCCTACAAAGAGCTTCTTTTAGATGAGCAACATCAGGGTGGAAGTCCTACTGTGTTCAGTGGGCCTTCTCAATAACTAAGCATAGGCCAGACTGCAGTTATATTGAGGTAAATGGGGTTTACTAGGAAGTGGCAGCTTACATGCTCCATCAGTGCTATGGATGAGAGTTGCAATGCCAGAAGCAAGGAGAAAAATATGCTACTAAACTGTGCTAAAAAGTAATCATAATGTTTAAAAAAGCATAATGCTTCCCCATCAGCTTGCCCAGGGCAAGGATACAGGGAGGGCCTTTTCCTTACCCAGAATAGAGTCTTGTGACACTTTAAAGCCCAACAGATTGACTTGTGGCACACTAAAAAAAATAGGGGCTAACCTTTTTCAAGGAATTTTTAACACAATGACAGCGAATGGGGGGAGGGGGACAGTATGGAGAGTAAGTCTATAGATCTCAGCACGTTTATATTTAATGCACAAAATAAGGCAATAAAAGCCTTGTCAGGGTACAAGCGTCTGTATGTTCAGACAGAAAAAAAAGTTGTGCCATTCTGGCTCTTCTCGTCTGTGCATAGGACTGCACCCTCAAGTCTTTTTAAAGCGCCACTAGATCCTTCTCCGTGGTTGCGCTAACTTCTCTGAAACTTCTCCACGGCGTATTTCAGTCACCCATCGTGCAGCCCTTTCCAGCCTGCCGCCCGCCACATGTACTGGACTACAACCAGCCCCATCACCCACAGTCATCATGGCCATTGGAGAAATCGGCACTACTATAACGCGAACAGTCGCTACCGGGGCAACTGAACCGCCGCAGAAACCCACTAGAGTCCCCTCGGCTTCATCCTCATCGCCCCATACGTGCCGGGATAGCTGAAGTCTTTTTTTAAAAGGCACACATTTCTCCACCGAGTCCCACTCCCTCGATCCCGGGATCAACCTACGCCTTCTCACCTGAAGGAAGTTCTCAGTACCGAGACATGCCTCCTGGACGCCTCCAGCTCCAACTGTTCGGCACTCAGCCAGCGCCCTACCCGCCCTACGCCGCTATGGCAACTTGAACTAGCCGCCCTGCCGCCGAGAGAGAGCGGCCTCACAAGGCGCCAGGGGGCCCCGGCGCTTAGCTTTGTGGGGATCGTAGTTCGCAGACCCCACGGCCACCGCCGTCGCAAGGTGCCAAGAAGACTACAACTCCCGAGAAGCCTTGTACCCACTATTCCAGGAAGAGCCTGAAGCTCCACCCGCTCCCGCAGAACCGGCATAGGCTAGCAGTCACGGGGCTGACCAAGCGGCTTCCACTTCTTAAAGGGGCAGGCACTTAATTCCAGAATTGAGAGACAAGAGACAAGGAAGAAACGGTGTGATGTACACATATTTATAAATATATAAATATTTATAAAAAAATATACATATATTTATGTGTATATCCTGCGAGGAACCCAAGGCAGCTTACATAATCTTCGTTTATCTTTACAACAGCCCTGTGAAGTACATTAGACTGTGTCAAGTAACTGACTGAGTGAGCTTCATTTGCATGTAGGAGCCAGAACCTGGATCTTTGGAGTCCCAGTCCAGCACTCTAATCAATATACATGCCGCACTGGCTCCCTCTCCTTTGGAGGCAGGGCTGGAGGGGGAGCCAAAATGAGGTTACCAAGATGTGTGGGCTCTACACCTGGGACACTATACTTTCCATCTATAGACGTTCCAGCCATAGGTTGGCCACTTGTGAATCACCCAAAAAGAGGGCACCAGTACAAATTTAGAAATAATAATTATGGTTTTAAAAGATGTACATCTGACTATTGTGTGGAAGATTGTGACTAGGTCACCTCTGTGATCACTGCTCACTGGTGTCCAAGTGCTGTAGATGGGCAAAGTTGCCTGCTGGCTTTCCCTTCATATGGTCAAACTAACGTAAAAAACAAGTTAAAGTGGACTGAGGTTCCACCTAGTTCAATATGCTTCTCACTTGATGGCCAGCCAGGTGCCCCCAGAAAACTCACAAGCCAATCAACTGGGCTTAGACTGGGCAGCCCTTCAAATAGAAGATACCTTTAAAATAGGCGAGAGTGCTCTGGGAACCTTTCAAATAAAGGACTGCCCTCAGTAGAAGAGACACACCCATCTTTAGAGCACAGAAAAGTACTTTAGAAACACCCCTCAGCAGGGTAACAGAGCAATAACTGAGGTTCTGGGCACTGAGGTTCCATGTAGCCATCGTAGTCACTGATAGAACTAGCTTCCATGGTTCAATAATCCCCTTCTGAAAGATCTGGTCAACACTCTAGGGAACTGCCTCATACTGAACCAGTCTCTCGGCCCATGTAGCACAATGCTATCAACACTGACTGACACAGCTCGCCATGATTTCAAGGAGGTCTTCTTTCTTAGCACTATTTGAAGATTCTCGTGACTGAACCTGACATCTTTGTATACAAAGCAGGTACTCTGCTACTGGGACTGAATCCCAACTGATTTGTTTATTTACTTACAACATTTATGGACCAATCCACCACTGCACAGAATCCAGAATGGTAAATAATTGTATCACATACTTCCAAGAACAACAGAAGCAAGAACCAAAGGGAGATCACCCAGTAGCAAGCCATGTAGACCCACAACACCATGAAATGTTGTATACATATTGATGATGCTTCCTGAAAGTCCCATGGCAAGTGACTTTTTTGAAAAAGGAAATTCTAAAGGTACAATTACAAACAATTCCAACAAGGAAAATAGGTAGAAGACAACAGTAGAAGCCTATGAGAACAAAAGGGGGCATGAATAGGAAGTGGAAGGAAGGCCAGGCAGGTAGAGACAGGTAGCATGGAATTGCAGGGATAATGTGAGGAAGACAAGAATGATCTAAAGTTAGCAAGGGATGCTGAAAGCAACAAAAAGCTTTTGTTGGATAATTCCATAATAAAAGACAAAGGAAAGAAATGATGGTTCAACTAAGTACAAATGGCAAAATGATAACAGATGACAAGGAAAAGTCTGAAGTGCTCAGTTCCTATTTTGACCCTTTCCCCATTAAATGATGGTGCAACACAAGCATGGAACAAAATCACAAAGGCTGAAGTGCAGGAACACTTGAGAGCAAGACAACTACTTCAGTGCTGTCTGGAATGAATAAGAGAACTGGGGCACCAAAAGGGCATAGCTTTTTTGGAGATGGGCCACTTGAATAGGCTTGCCAAAGAACTATTTCTGCAGTATGCCTCTCTCACACACAAATACACACAGAGGAAAGGAACATTTGTTCCATTGCTATGCCTGAAAGTCTCTCAGGAAAGTCTTGACCAGCTGCTCCCTTGGCATTGATCTCTCATGTAGATTCATATTGTCATAGAACAGTAGGGTCAGAAGGGGCCAAGAAGTTCACTGGGCCCAACCCACTGCTGTTGCAGGATGCCAAGTTACACCATCCCACTCAGAAAGCTGTCCCGTTTCACCTTGAATGTCTCTAGTGTAGGAGAGTCCACGACCTCTCTTGGCAACTGGTTCCACCATCATATTGCTCTGACTTAGGAAGTTTTTCCTGAATCTGGCCTGATCTAGCCTGAATCTGGAGCGCTGCAGTTTCAGTTCATTATTCATTATTCAGTTCAGGGACCAATAAGACCAGGTCTTTTCCTTCCTCTTTGAGACAGCCTTTGAGGTACTTGCAGAGTGCTGTCATATCCCCTCGTAGTCTTCTCTTCTCAAGGCTAAATATGCCCAGCTTCTCAGCCTCTCATCATAGGGCTTAATTTCCAGACCCTGGATCATCTTTGTTGCCCTCCTGTGAACCTTTTCTAGTTTTTCTGCATCTTTTTAAAACCTGGGTGCCCAGAACAGAACACAGTATTCCAGGTGAGGTTCAACTAGAGCAGAGTAAAAGGGAACTAGTACTTCTCTTGTTCTGGAAGTGATGCTTCTATATATGCATTCCAAAATAGTGTTTGCCCTTTTTGCAGCTACATCACATTACTGGCTCATATTTAGCTCCAAGGTCTTTTTCTTTTTCGGTGCTGTTGAGCCAAGTATTTGACATTTTGTATCAATGCATTTGGGAGCTTTCCCTTGACGGAGAACATGACATTCAGATGAACTGAAAATGAAGGGACTTCACTAGGAACTATTACCAAACATGTGATTACTCTGCAGTTTTTGACACACAGTCTCTGACCAGGAAATGAGGATTTATTCCAGGTGAGAAAAAGCACAGAAGTCCTTTGCCATGTTAAAAGCTTAGGCCTGGCAGTGAAAGCAGAACTATTTAAGTGACACAAAAACATTGCCCTTCTCTGGCTGCTTACTCTTCTCCAGACTTAACCCCTTAGCCTCTTTCCCTAACTGCAAAATTGCAGTTTTACTTTAGACACCAGCCCTCGAACAGTCAACTACTAAATGCTTGCACATCCTATTAATTACTCCTTTCCTACTTAAGCTAGGTGGAAGAAGAATTGCAGTGCAATTTACTCTCAAAGTAATGGAGTAATGGTTCTTACACTATTCAATTGCCCTCCTTAATTTTCATGAGCCACTGGAAGCAAGATTTTTGCCATAGTTTGAGTTTTAATTATGAAACTCAGACTGGGGGGCTGCAACTCATTCAGTCCCTCCAAAGACATGTCACACCAATCTGCAATTAAGGCTCAAATGGTCAATTTCTTGCAAAGGCAATTAGGTTTATTTATAATTCAATGCATGGATTCATGGGTGCCTAAGACAGGAACACCCAATGCTAATTCCATTAGGGTTATATAGAATACACAAAAGGGGAGTGGATACAATACACAGGAAGGTGATTGGATACTTTGATATGGATAGGAAAGTGATTGGATACAGGTCACAGCACCATAAAGAAAAGTTACATTTCACTCTAATTAGATGCCTTTGACAGGCCTTCTAAATTAAAGTTACCTTGAACAGGCTGGCCAAGTTAAGTGAACAAAAACGGTACATGTATGAACTTACAGGGTTAGGGAGGCACCTTAGCAAGCCTATAAAACACAGAGATTACACTTTGACAGTTACCCACTAATGGAGTGGGATGATTTGGTCTTCACCGACAGACACCAAGGCATCCTTTGATGTGTTTATGGCAAGGCAGTGAGGTGGGATGGTAACAATTGTTTTTCTGAGTACAGACACAATCCTCCAAAGATTCTTTAAACTCAAATAAGTGTCATTCTCTTCTACAAGAGGAATGTCATGGAAACCTCCTTTTCTCTCCTTGCTGCTGAACAGCTACCTCATTGCCTCCACTATCACATGCAAATAAACAGATAAAGGCAACCAACCCCACCCATTATTAATCCCTTCCTGGAAAATTAATGAGCTTGCCAGGTGACCACTTTTCTAGAAAATCCAAGCAGCTTTTCCTTGCCCCTTCATCTATCTTTTCTTTAACCTATCTTTTCCCACCGGCTTTTTGAAATGACGTCTTTACTGTGCAAACTTCATTTCCCTAATCATAGTTGTTTACAGGCCCTTTAAATGAGATAATGCCTGTCCAGTTTTGCCTTTGTCCAGCTTTCAGAGTGCCTGAAGAGCTATGGACGGAGGTTTGCAACATTGTACAAGAGGCAACAACTAAAACCACCTCAAAGAAAAAGAAATGCAAGAAAGCAAAATGGCTGTCTGAGGAAGCTTTACAAATAGCTGAGGAAAGAAGGGAAGCAGAAAGGCAAGGGAGAAAGAGAAAGATACACCCAACTGAATGCAGAATTCCAGAAAACAGTTAGAAGAGATAAGAATGCCTTCTTAAATGAACAGTGCAAAGAAATAGAAGAAACCAATAGAATAGGGAGGACCAGAGATCTCTTCAAGAAAATTGGAGACATGAAGGGAACTTTTCATGTAAAGATGGGCATGATAAAGGACCAAAATGGCAGGGACCTAACAAAGGCAGAAGACATTAAGAAGAGGTGGCAAGATTACACAGAAGAAATATGCAAGAAAGAGCTTAACATCCTTGATAACCATGATGAGGTGGTCACTGACCTCGAGCTAGACATCCTTGAATGTGAAGTCAAATGGGCCTTAGGAAGTCTGAGCAACAACAAAGCTAGTGGGGGTGACAATATTCTAGCTGAGCTATTCAAAATCTTAAAAGACGGCACGATAA